GACCGCCATCATACCGTATAGAGGCTGTTGTAAATACACAGATCCGGCCCCGATTTTTGACGAATTTGCCGATAAACCCACAGTTTTCGTTCGACTACGTTATATGCAGGTATGCTAATTACACACTGTAAAATCTATTTTAGTGTAGAGCCTCGCATACTTTGCGCACCTTGATCGGAAAGAAATTCTACGTCTGCTCACATTTTCACCTACAGATATTAAAATTGCGGAATCTAAGTTAATCCCTGGTGCTATGACGCTGGAAAAGCATCATAAGTTGGTTGTTTCTATGAAAGAATGCAAATTATTTTGTTTTAGTGTTTGCGTCCATATCCGACGGGGCGACTTTATTACCTCAAACCTCCATCAACATTCAACAAAAAGGTTTACAAAAGCGGCTGTGAAATTTGCTGCGGATTACGGTAAATTTAGTGCATTTAAAAAGCTATATCTCAGATTTTAGCAAGAATGCATACGAATAAATCGATATCTATTGTACTACTTGGAAATGATTATAGTTGGGCAAGGCGCGTGATCCACGAAGTTCGTGCGGTACTGGACTGTTATCAGGGGGGATAGCAAAAACCAATTTTTGATGTTTTTGTGGAAAATGTGTTAAAATTACCAAAAAAGCCAAAGTTTCGATCTTTTAAAAAATGCTTAAGATATTTTTTGTAACTTTCTAGCAATCAATAACTATGAAAAAGTTGTAAAAAGACACTATTTAATATTAACAGGTCTATACAGAAAAACAAAAATTAGTTCCTTCCAGTAACTTCAAAACGAGCATTACAATTCAGATTGGTCCCACCGATTTTCCGATTCATATCGCATCCCAGAATCCAAACTGGCCCACCCATATCGATTGGATATTTTCACGTCTTTACTGTGATACAGTAGTTCTGACGGGTTAGTTGATACTTCCGGTATGTGGGAATTTTTTGTTTTTAGCTTCCTCATCAACGTATGGTTGGTGGCTTGCCTATTTGGCGCGCGGGACAACGGTACTGTACAATGGACAGTTTTCCAAGCCGGGCGGAATAGTGCGAAAAACCGATGGCCCAAAATTTTGGCCGCCATCATGGACAAGGATTAGTCAATCGTGGAATGATTCTAGGATTTATATAACTTGATAAATGTCTAAAAGGCCGTTTACGAGCCAACCGAACAGGGGCTGGCACAGCCTTTTTCGATCCGGTTTTTTCGACACGATCGGATAGAGCATGCTCGAATTAGTAAGACCGCATAAATTTAAGATTTTTAAGAGCTCATTTTTGGACTTTAAATGGCCGTTTAAGGGTAGTATCTATACCCAAGTGATATGAGGAATTTAATAAATTTTTATTGCTATTTATTAGACCTACTTTCTAATCACTAATTCTACGGAAAAATGGCCACCCTGGCCCACTGTGCGCGTACCATAGGTTCAAAGGCCCTCACCCCTCTCCCCGTCCGACGGGGCGCCATAGTGTATTGGCAACGCGCGCGGTCTTTACCCCTCCATACCCCGGTTCGGTTGCTTTGTATATTTATAATATCTTTTGCTTTTTGCTTTTTGGCCCAGAGGTGGCCCAAGGCCTAAATGATCGTTTGCAACAGCTTTCAAAGGTTTAAAAGCTAAAAAAACAGCCCGGTAAAGGTTTTTTGAAACAAAATTGTGAGTTGCAAGCTGGGACTGGACAACAGCCAAAAAGTCTTTATATTTGAGAAACTATCATTTTTTCAGTTTTTAGAGTGTTCACAGCATTCTAGAAAGTACAACATTCGATGCAGAAAATTTTTGCGCATCTTTTTATGCTATTGACACGTTACAGGCGATACCCTAGATACTAGAAAATTTGAGTAAGACGCGGACGGCCTTTTAATCGGTTTTATTCGTCTATGTGTCTAAATGTTTTATTCTTTTTGTTCGGCTAATTCGCTAAATTATTTTATTCGTTCTTATTTCCCTTTCAAAGCCGAATTTGGTGTAACAGAAACGGTCGCCGTGGCACGTCGAGATTGGAAAAACCTCCCGCTTGGTGTCCATACCTTTTGGCGGATTTTTCTAAAAAAACGTTTTTAGAAGTTTTTGTAATTTCCTACCTATCAAGGATCAGAGACACAAATGCATTCATCCCGTTGCACAGCATCCAATAGATACAGACGTAAAAATTCGTCCATTTTGTCACCTCCACCCACTATGAGGAAAATTTATGGGGCTTCACGGCTACCTTTCCTAGCTTTTAATAATCAAAAAGATATTTTTGTCATCTTTTGTCATTTTTAAATGCTAAAAAGTTACGAAAATACTTTCAAATATCAGTAAAGTCGAAAATTTTGACCATTTTTGGTCATTTTCATACAATTTTTACCGCCAGAAAGTGTATTTACAGACCTATGTTATAGCGACGCAGGGGATACTGCGCTAAATTTGGTCAGCGCTACCTCAAAAAATCGTTCCCCCCTGCTAACAGTCCAGTACCGCAAAACCCACTTCTCCCAAATGATGCCATAAATTGATAAGCACAAATATATTAACAAAGACAACGACCGATTGGATGAATATACGTAGTTCATACTTGTAACTCGAGCTCGACACCAACCGTTTGCGACTCTGTACAATTTACGATATTTTAGTCGCGAAAAGGGTACCGTAATCATAATCACGATCACGATTATATATGCGGCAAAAGCTCCAAACACCAGAGGCATTGATATCCAAAATTCGACTACCATTTGTGTGGCGCTCCAGGGCTGTAACGACGTCTATGCAGGCGCCAATAACTGTACCATTTTTGTGTCGTAGCTCCATGCATAATCGCCAAACTCAAATCCGCTTTTGATCCACGAGAATAGCCAGAAAATAATGGCAAAAATCCAGGCGATAAAGATGGCTGCCTAAACCGGTGGATAAGGTGGGGGAATTGGAAAACTTGCCGTCCAAATCAATTCATTGTCATGAAGGCCAGAAATTAAAAATATACGAGCCATTACAAAAAGCCGTTGGAGGCTAAGAAAGAAATGGATGGCCAATGCCCCCATCCAAGCCGAATTCATCGCCGTACCAATTACCTGAAAGCCATTCAGGTAAAGGTTGCTTAACGGTGGGGGATAACTGGGGTAGGGTGGAAACAAAGGTCGTAGTTCTAAAAGTTATCATGCTATTTTGGAAACACCACCTAATAGGGCGCCAAAAATTATAAAAGGAATTTTACCTTCAGCCCGAATTACAGTTGTTTAAAATGATAACTTTTTGAAGCTAAAACGTTTAATTAAGAAAACATCTTTTTAAATCACCCGTTATTCCCCGACCCGCGTTAAACAACGTTTACCGCCAATCAAATCCATACGACTGCGCGGAACCCACCGAAAGAACAAAATGGTAGTTGGCGGATAGGGCCGGAAACCACACAAAAATGCTGTTCAACTCGTGGAATAAAAGTTGGAAGCAGTCAAAGATCCCGAGATGCATCAACATTTTATGGCTGGCAGAACGGTAGAGCTCACGATCAACAGCCACTTTCTAAATATCCACTTTTTCAGGATCTAGCCTAAGCCAAAGCCTAACTCAAAAAAAAAAAAAAAAAAAAAAAAAAAAAAAAAAAAAAAAAAAAAAAAAAAAAAAAAAAAAAAAAAATCAGCATAAACCTAAGCCCAAGCCTAAGCATAAACCTCAGCCTAAGCCCAAACCTTACCCAAATAATATAAAGATAAAGCGGATACATCAAAACCGGCACGATTAAATAAATACATCCCACCAGTAGATCATCACCATGCAAAGCCATCGCCTCCCAAAATCCAATACCCGGCTTCCTTTACTTCGATAGCAATTCTCCCAAGAAATGAATGGACTTGGGTGTGCCCTAAAACGTGACAAAAAAATTAGGTTTGTGACTTGCTGCTGCAGCCTGGATTAGCTAATTCGCCTGCGAACTTACGCCCACATGCAACAAATTTGCCTTGGGAAAAGCCGATGGGATTCCCCGCTGCGGAAGCCTCGGTTCCAACCCAAATTGCATATTTTTAGAAAAATCAGCGTCGCCGTGGGGCTAAATACTTAATACTTTTACCCCGGACGCGATAACACGGAATTCGCACGGGGTTCTGTAAAATCAGCAATTATCGGGCAGATCGAAAATGGAACGAATAAATAATAAATTTTTGGAGATTGGGGTTATATAAAAGCCGAAAGCAATTATCTGGGTTTTTAATAGAAATTCTGTAAAAAATTGTAAGGGTGCATTTGGTCTACTTCCCGGCGCCCGACTTTTGCATCTCGGCTCCGCATTGAGCTATAGCTGTGTAAAGTATACCAAACTTTCCGCGCTGCTACGGCGAGTATTTTGGTATACTTTGAAGCCGATAGGATATGGGGGAACCGATATACAGTAGGTGGGGTCGGCTGGGGGCTCGCTCAAGCTTGACTTACTTCACTCAAGCCAAAAAATTTTTACCTTCTGAATTAGCTAACTTGCAAAAATACTTTATTTTTAAGCTATTGAAGTAAAAGCCTTACTCTATTTTTTCACGCTGATTTATAGAATATTTCGAATAGCTCGTGATGCCGTTTGAACGTCAAAATAGTGCCTGGACTTCCGGAAGCCAGCACAGCGACGCAGCATCTTTACGGCCGCCTGGATATTGCGTATCGTACAAAAGCGTATCCATTTGAAAGCAGCGGTTTCTAGAAGTAATAGATTCTCTTAAAAAAACGGGCCCGATATACTGACAATAAATCCACTAAAATATCGTTATATCCTCATTCATTGTAATCTAGAGTTCCATATTTATAACACAAACTCGTCCCTGTTTCCCCTCGAAGCAAACCTTTTCCTTAACTCCCAGTAATTTTTCATTATCTTCGCTTTCCAGTATGCTGGCGGTGGAGGAAGCACACGAGTGGCCAACGTGGGTGTATGGTTGCTATGCAACCACCCTCCGCAATCCGAGCATCAAGGCTAACAATAAGTTCACTCCCCGAAACCGTTCCCAACATTCATTTGAAACTCATTTGAGAAATGGGCGAATCAGACAATTCGCCAAAATTCGACCCATTCTTCCGCGCGCTCAAATTTTTCCGGGAAAACGACCTGGAGGAGTGTGAGAAGGAATGTACCGCGATATTGCTGAAAAACCCGCTGGATCAGGTAAGTGAAACGGGAGAAGTTGTAAAATTAATGGGGAGCTGGATATCAGAATCTACGTGAAATTCCAGGCAGCCTGGTCATTGAAGTTACAATGCCTAACGGAAGGTGTTTACATTGATGAGCTCGAGAACAATGATGTCGGAATTGCTGAGACTTTCCTGGATCAGGTAGATAGCGGCTAAACGGAAATAAGCGGACGATTTAGAATGTGATTGCGCCGAACGCCCGTCCAGGCACATCATTCAATCGCCCAAACACCACTGCTCGAGGGAACAATCCGCTGTTGAGGTAGCAAAATGATTAGAAACAGGCTAGAAAACTATTAAAATCAGTGGCTGCTTACGCTAATTTTAACCCATCTTTAGACCACAAACCAATATGGGGCGTCCGCTTTCTGGGGTTGTCAGACCAATGACAACGGCACGGCCGGGAACAATGGATCAAGCGGTAAATGTAGAAGCTTCGACTACAATATATCATTTAGGTCCGCACCAGCCGGACGGCGAAAACCGCGCGCGCCGTTACAAGCAGTTCGGCAAGATTTGTTAGGCTTGGAACAGTAAGTTAACCTTGCAGTTATGCAAAGAAATGCACTACCTTCTAGGCCTCCATGACATCACAGGCTGATGGCCCATTCGTGAACCTGGCTCGGCTGAACATTGAAAAATACGCCAAAGACCCTCAGGTAAACCTAAAAACCACATCAGTACAAAGTTACAGGTGAATCGGCCGCTTTTCGAATATGTCTTCCACCACGAGGGCGATATCAAGGTCGCCCATCAGGTATAATTGCTTTCATTTTCAGCATGGGGGAAAGCGTTTACCGATTTATCAACGAATGAGCAGCAAAACTAATCAAACAAACGAACAAAGCAACGATATGTTCAGACTAATTGTGAGAACTAGGGATGTGATCGCGAACGAACGGCGTTCAAAATCAGCCTACTGCGCGCGAAGGAGACTATCACACCGCAGAAAAAAAACAGAAAATTATCCAAGGTTATACACCTTCGGCTTGGCAAGTCGGCGGAACGTCCGTTTTACGAATGTGCCGCGAGAGAATTTGTGGCGGAGCGTCTTGCTGTAGGTGCGCCCGACGACCTAAAAAGAGGCATAGGATTAACGGATTTAAAAATAAACGCACCGGCTCGATCTCATTCCGCCATCGGAGGGCAGCTTCAATAATGTTGAGACCTTCAACTGGCTTCGCAAGGAGCTTTGTGTTGACGCTAGGGCAAAGTTCAAGCAGACAAAATAAACCCTTACTCATCGCCGCATAGCTGCTTCAACGAGGGGTTCGGTTGGCTGTATTTGGCGAAATCAAGGTTCTCCAACGCATTCTCGGCGAAGAAACAGATCCTAAAAGACATATCATAGTGGATAGAATAACTCACTGATCAGGCATAATACGCCATGAACCCAGAAGGGCATCGACGGAAGCCCACCGAATAGCCACCGTCAGCGATTCGCCGGCCGCTAAGTAGAGGTTAACTTTCTATCAATAAAAACGAACCTTGTCCGACGAGCTTTTGGTCTGCATAGAGGCCGACAACATAACACGGCTCGGCGCTCATTTCCCCGGAGCTTCGCAATATACGAGGGACAATCTAAATGATAAAATCATAAGGCTTCTATAAAAACGACATTATAATATTCAAATACACTTTATAAAAAGGACCTCATTGAACCCGAGCTTCTTCAATTGGGATGCCGCAACTTCAAGTGGCTCGTCGAAAGACAGAATCTCCTCCAGATCGACGTCAAGTATTTGAGGAATCTAAAAAATTATAGAAACCATGCGAAATAAAGTACGATAAAATCCATGATTATCTTCGATGCCGTCTTGGAATCAACGACGGCAAGTAGAGCACGCAACGAGTCACTGATGCTTTGTTCACTCGGAGGGTGCTCGCCCGTACGGATAAGAGTGTCGAGACCTGAAAAGTAATTGTTAGTACGTGCTTTTCCTTACAAAAAGACAAAACCGACAAAACGGCATCTATCAAATTCAAAACCCTACCGATTGTATTGCCGATCATATGAAGAAGTTTGTTCGACACAAGCTGCTCAGTGACGCCTTGGATAAATTCTTCAGGCGCCTTCGGAAATTGGGCCCGCAGGAAAACGGCCACATTCAATCGAAGGACATTGTTCCCTTCTTCGCGTAATGTATTGTTATTGCTTGTCGATTCTTGCCCATCGCCACGTAGAGACTGATGTTCGTACCCGGCATTGTCTAAAGAACTCTGAACTGAACAAAGAATCAACGATTTCGGAGAGAGGCGACGAATAATTGCACAAATTACCGACCCGAAACATCATTACGCTCCGCAAATGATGGTGTCGTTAATGCCGGAATCCAATTCTCGATCGCTGTATTGCTAGCACCTAGTCGACTTCCAAACGCGTAAAGTTCAGCCTGGTAATTCCTAAAGAACAATACACAGGACATAGAGGCCAAGTTACCAGTTTGGCAGAGAAGAGCGAGCGATGACAGGGTCTGAGCCAAGAAGTTCGCGTCGATGGTAGAGATCCTTCAGAAAACGTCGCTCCCAAACTGTCCTGATGTGTCGGACAACTGAAAATTGAAGTTCCGCATAAACGCTAAAGTTATACCTGTGTTACCCACGGCGGGTGCCCGAAGCCAGGAATTCAACTCCCTGCCAAGCATCAGGACACCCTGAAAAATGAATTAGATACAAAGAATAAAACAAAAAGAATAAAGATAAATAAAAAGAAACTAAAAAGGTGGTTGAAAAAGCCGGCGAAAAATCTTGGAATGGGGAAATTTACGGAAGAGGCTAGCCCACATGGACAGGGCGGAGAGTGGAGCATTCGGAACGCCGAAGGGCGGTGAAAAGGAATTGCTCGGCAACGGATTACGGTCAAAGAGCTAAAGCTCAATAAGATAAATCAATTGTCAATAATATAAAATCAGCTGAAGAAATGAAATGTGAAAGTTTAGATGAACTTTTAGATTGCGGCAATTGCCACAAAAGAGGCCGAGTTCAAGGATTGGTATTGGAAGACGCAGCTTGGAAAATGCTATTATCGGTAATCAACCAATTTTTACAGATTTATTTCCTGCATTTCAGCCTCGGTCTCTTCAAAGAAGCCGAAAAACAGTTCATTTCATCACTGGGCAATCTACCGACCGTTGAAACGTATGCGTTGGTCGGGAAACTCTACAATCGTCTCGACCAGCCGCTATTGGCTTTAAATTACATGCGACAAGGCCTCGAAAAATTTAGCAGTGACGTGACGTTGACGACTTGGATCGCACGCACAAATGAGGTGGGTGATGCGCAAGCTTGGCGTCAAGATCCGACAAATATAAGTGGCTTCCAGCTGCTTGGTAATATGGATGAGTCGATCGATCATTACAAAGAGGTGCTTAGCAACCAAGCTAATCATATTGAAGCTATCGCATGTATAGCTACGAACTACTTCTATTCGGATCTGCCGGAAATTGCGCTTAGATATTACCGGTGAGTCATTAGAAATTGTCTCTAGTCAAAAATTTCAGTCGCATTCTTCAAATGGGAGTTAACAATGCGGAAATCTTTCTGAACGTCGGGCTTTGCTGTTTTTACTGCCAACAATTCGACCTCGCTATCGCCTGCATCGAGGTCATTCTCAGTTTTAATAAGATCGATAACCTTAGCACAATATTTCAGCTCAAAAATTTCACGATTTCAGAGGGCCCACGCGATCGCTTCCCAAGATATTCAGGCGGATGTTTGGTATAACACAGGCCATATTGCACTTGTGAGTATACTTCTAAATCTATACAAAATCATTGGCTAGGCGATTGGTGATGTGAAGATGGCCGACCGATGTTTCCAGTTGGCGCTCACTTGCGACCCGGAACATGGGGAATCTCTTTGTAATCTGGGTATTTTGAGGCTACGTGAAGGTAAGTTATGAGGAGACTGTAAGCCTGAAAAAAATACACATTTGAAACTAATCAAATCAAATGTTATTTAGGCAAAATCGACCAAGCAAAGTCATGTTTCTACAACGCCCGCACGAAGGCACCACATCTCTTTGAGCCGTATTTCAACATAGCACTGCTTGCTCATCAGGTTCGGCGGTTCATGCTCCCTTAGATCATTCTCATTCAGTCGGGCCGATATTCGGAGGCGCTCCAGAACGTGAACAAGTCGCTCGAAATCTTTCCGGAGCACGACCACTCCCTCACTCTTCGAAAGCATATCATGATCCTGTATACGATGATTTGAGGAAACAATTTTTTGAAAGTTTTGCCGTTTTAGGGGAAACGCACCAAATGACAAATAAAAGCTATTTTAAAAGCACGTTACGTCTTTTTGAGACAGAAAAATGGTGGATTCAGTAATCATAATTCGAATTGAACTACATTCTAGCTCTTCCCGTTTCGGTGACGAGGGTCAAGCACCCGGTCAACGACAATTCAACGACGTTTACGCATCCAGTTCCCAAATCGAGCGCTGCAGCGCTATTTTCAAGAATTCCTAGAAAAGGCGGGTTGCGTGGGTCCTCTAGTCGGTCAGTCAGCTTTCAGACATTGGCCCTCCACCCGGGAAGTGACGGCCCAAAGACCGCGGCTCAAATTTTCATTAGCCCGTCAAGAGAGCCACCGGTTCGGGTTTCATCCCCCGTTTTTGCATATGCCCATTTAGAGGCACGGTCCGCTTTATATACGATGCTTCTTCCAAAGCGGGGGCATCGGGTGCATTTCGGGGGCTGCGAATCGTGATTTTACGTTCTTGCTGCAGAGGGTTTTTTTTGCGAATATTCGTTCAATGAATCGGGGCTTTGGATGGAAAAAGTTTGATTATGCGATAATCTTTCGTTTTCAGTTTGGGTAAACTTTGGGTAATTAACTTTTAGCGGGGGGGGAGCCGGAGATTTTTAGCTGGGGATTTCCAGCTAGCTATATCACTTAATTGTTGCTTTAGCGCTTAATAATGCGTTTTATATCCTTTATTTGGTAGTTTCATTTACCAAAAAGTCAAAAACAGCGAGAAACTGTCATATTTTTATCGATTTTCTATACCTCCAAACGGCCTAAAACGTCACAAAGTGCGTATATTTTAGTAATACACTTAGAAAAATATTTAGTTGAGACACACTATTTATTTTCGGAAAATTGACTCCCTAAAAAGTTGATTTCCTTGGTCCCCCGGTCAAGAGACCAGCACCAATCTTTGTCCTTTTCAACTCCCCCATCTCAACGCTTCGTTCGGGGACGCTTCGGCCGGAAGCCGCACTGATTAATTCACGGGTCACGAAGTTCATGATGCCCAAAAAAAGGAGCGCTTTATTCGCTCTTGATTTTGGGTTATCGTTGTTGCTGGACGTTAAAAAAAAGCCCTAAAAGTTCCGGTAGCGCTCTACTGTTAGGCTAAATCGCGCCCCAAAACCGCTCAAAAAGGCCGTTATCCAGCCGTGTTTCAGGCACGCCCGAAATTTACAGCCCCCGACATGTAAACCGTAAAAGTGTCGCGAGTTAGCGAATGTTGGGCTACAAATAGCTGTTGTAGAACTGTGTGCTGTAGAATTATCAGGAAACTCCATTCTTTAGAGTTTGACGAAACACAATGACAAATTTGTTGTATTTCACGCTGTTACTGCCGTCAGCAACGCAGAATTCCTTGGCTTTTCTGCTGTCATAATCCGATTTCCCACTTCGGGATGGCGGTGATAAATTTGGAGGGGGGCAATGCTAACCAAACACAGATGGCTGCCGGGGGAATTCAGAAATAATCCCTTGAACTATTTTAATATTTAACGAGTTCCGATTATCTCTATTCAATCCCATTTCGCCGTAATGGTTGAACTTTCCAGATTCTAAGAATTCTAAGGGTAGATAAGAAATTTCGCTACTTCAGTGACTCTTTTCAACTGGCTCATTTATTTTGGTGTCGTGTCGCCCTATTTATAAGAGGGCCCCTTTTAAATCTCGCGCATATAAATTTTTAGACAAATTTTACATCGATGGGTCTCCAAAAAAGCTTGGCGTTGTTGCTGGTGTTGGTCGGATGCCTGGCGTTGTTCACGATGGCGGCGCCGCTTGATGATTTGATGCAAAAAGGTGGGTTTTGAATCAAGGGACAACAAGAAGCTATCAAAATATCAAAAAAAATCCGCGCATATCTAAAGGTAGTTGTACTGAATATTATTTGTCGTTCCACTACGTTCTTTGTGAAGTTGTCGCAGAGTTGTCTTTCGTTTTCAGTTTCAATTTCTCCTTTCGAAATTCTCAAACCCTCCAAATTTTCAGTATCCCACTGGCACACAAAATACAATTCCGCTCCAAAACAAATGACGGTCAAGGTTGTACGGCATGGGTGCAAGGAAATGTTGAAGCGCAGGGTGTTCAGAGGAGGTCGCAGAGAAACTTTCGCTAGCAACAGTTAGCATAAATTCGATGATTCATCCATTCACGCGCTATGTTTCTAAATTTTATAAAGCACTCTAAAAATTTGATAATCGCAAAAAAACATAACTCAAGCAAACTTTTCAGTGAGTCGCCGCCGTCGGGAACTCGAATCGCTCCAAATGGAGGGGCTAGTTGCTGAATTAGCTGGAGGAAGCGGTGGTATGGGGTTCCGACCCGGCAAGTAATACTTCACTACCATCCCGAAAATCTTCCCATCACTATCTAAAAAGACGCCACCGCCGTCCTTGGCAATTATATTACTAGATCTCTGATTGAAATACATGCATTCGTTGTTGAAAATCCATTCAATGCACTGCACCGAGATTTTTCCGGCCAAGAGGCCTTTTATTGTTATAAACTAACGATTAAAAAAAAGAACGACACGGACTAGTAACAAGAATTAACAATCAGTAATAACAACAACAACGAAAAGTAAACAAACAAAAACAAAATAATCTCATTATTCTGGGATCGTAGACATTCCGGGGCCCGCCCCAAGCAGGAAGTAGCCGATGTCTGAAAAAGCTCTTTAATAAAGCCCGCACGATTGCATAAAAAAAATAGGTTTGAAGTACACACCCGTTGCCAGCTTTTCGTCCATCAGCGTTGACTCATCTTCGCCTCGTGGCGCCTTTGCCAGTGCAAAGAAGAAGGCAGTTAGCTAAATTAAAATTAACATGGTAAGGGTGGAAATAATACCGAGGGAGCAAGGTCCGAGTACTCGGGGTGTTGTACGACCGAGCGTAGGTGAGTGAAGATACGTTTTCCCATTAGCTCAAACTGGAACAGAGCTAACCATATATTAAAAAAAGACTAACCGTCAGAACGTCATTGGATCCCAGAAAGTTAAACGGCAAATCAAAGGGGAACGAGAGGATGAACGGGAAAAGCAAGTGGCAAGCAGCGCCAATCGCCTAAAAACATCTTCAAAGATAACGGAAAATTTTTCACCTGATCCACAGCCATTTCTTTGAGCTTATTCCAATTCGTCAAAGCCGCAAAAAGCGACTGGAGGTGCGCCGAACTGGACATACGTCCAGCGGCATGTCCAATTATGCACGAAATCGTGCAACTAAAAAATATGTATGCAATCTTATTTAAATACCTTTGCCCATAGTCGGCATGCAACAAAGACATCGCTATCTCCGAGATAGCGATGTTAGTCGTATTGTAGCAGCTGATAAATGCAGCAAATGTGCTAAATGAAAATGTAAAACCAAGAGAGAAAACGTACGGAATTTGGAGCTTATCCTTAAATGCGATGGGATCGACATTTGGGACGCAGCACGAAATCGCCCCATCAAAAAAGGAGCGGCTGTTCTGGGGAACAGTCATCATTTTCTCAAGAATCTTGCAAAGTCCCTAAAATGTCCAGTTGAAAAGGGCCTACAATATCACCGTCTTGTTGGGAAGGTCCTTGAGCGCCTGCTTGATTCGTGCAGCAGTGGAATGACCCTCTTCGGCGGCGGTCACAAGCTCGTTCAGCTAAAAGCGCACGCAATTCACCATACCGAGGAAAAAATATACCATGGTCATTGCGTAACCCCTTTCGAGTAGCATCAGGAGCTTCGGAAGGCATTTGCAATACGCTGCATACTTGGTAGCAGAATCGATGTCGGCACTCATTTCGATCAAGGTTGCCAACGCCTGAAAAATCGTGAAGGAAAGTTCAATGATGCCTACCACAGGTTGGTGTTGAGACATTGCGAGGTCAAATAAAACTGTCCAGCCGCTTGGTGTCTTCGCTAGCTCGCTTTTCAGCATGTATGCAATGCTAAGCGGTGGCATGCCACGTCTAAAAACGACAATGCATTCTAAAAATGAAAGACTCTTACTCATCAGTTCTTTTTTGATCAAGAAATGATCGAACCAGCAGCTCCGGTTTCTTCGCGCCTTTCCTGAACGAGATGGAAAAACGAGGTAAGAAAACGTACCGTAGCCTAGCTTCAACCTCGCGGATCAACGATCCGGAGGGCAAATTCTTGTAGTCTTCAGGTCCGCGATCACGGGAACGGATATACCTCGAGAGCGAATACAAGGACAGGGCTGAAAGATTCATTTAGGAAAGTTTACTTATCCTTTACCTTTAAAGATCATCTCTTGCACTTGATCATCAGACGAGCTGATAGAATTTGCAATCATAGCCTTGAAATCTTCGACTCCTTTAAGGAAATCAAGGGTGTCCATACAGGACAGGTTGATGGCTTTCTAAACAATTAATACTAACTAAACAGAAAATAAAAGATCACAAGTACCTGAATGATGGAATCCTGTTCCGAAATAGATTTTGGCGCTTCTAAGACGCGAGTTGTGGCCATTGCTTCGATATAGAGTCTCGACTTGCCCAGACCATACTCTAAAGCCAGAATTTGATGAATAACAACGGGTTTTTACCGAGGAGTCTGTACTCGTGGGCGTTCAATGGTGGACCAAGGCTCAGCAAATCGGTAGAGGCCTCCTATTCAGGTATCATCATTAACTGAAAGCCAAACCTCAAGCATCTGGAGTTCGACGGCCACCACACCGTATTTCGGAAGTGTATCGAGCTGTAAGCCGGAATACGGATCAAAGGCACCAGTGTCTGTCTGCTTCGATAGCAAAATAAGAGCCAGCGTTGCCATCTTTTGCGCCGAGTCCGTACGGGTCTGAAAACGGTTAACAACAGTCAATATGAATTCACCACGTCGCATTGGAAAATCGGTAGCGTCTTGGGTTGGTATTCTGGGTCTGCGACCATCGCCAAAAACGCGACAACTTTCGGGAGCCAAGCCTCGAACGGCAACGACGCGTTCTTCTAAAATATTGACTTTTAAATATTAATCGAATGAATCAGACCTCATTCACGTCCTGTACGCGAAGAGCCAAGTACAACAGCGAGAGGCACACTTTGTCCAAAGACTCCTCGACTTCAAGCAAGGCTCTCTTCAATACTTCGCACACCGTATCGCGTGCCCTACAAATACTGTAGCCGTCAGATAAAGTAAATGCGTACCTCAATTGCGTGGTGCCAATCTTATGTACAGCAATGAAGCAGGTTTCGATAAATGCTCTCCACGGCGCTATATATTGCAGGAAATGTCGGCAAGAGAGTGTGTCAGCGGAAAGCTCGACCTGGCCAAGGTAATTAAAAAAAAATCAAACTTCAAACCGATATCAAGGCATTGTATAAATTTCTGGTTGCTGTGGCCGGTTTTGTGGATTCGGATGCGGACATGATGTAACACGGGAAGAGGCCCAGCCATCGTTCATCCATCGGTCCCTGAACGAGGTAATTTTAATAATAAAAAATGTTATTATTAAAACTCAGTAAAACAGTACCTTCGCCGTCTCCCAGATAGACTTTGCTGACTTCAGAAGAGGATCCGGTTGGGACAAGCTAAAACCAATTCATGCGTAAATCATGGACTTTTACCTAACAGAATACAATTGGCGAGATAATTCCTCCAATTCGCCTGCTACCATTTTATGCAGGAAGCGGAGACGGCCTGTAGAAGCATTCGAAGCTAGGTTAGTTACGGTAACCTGGCATGCTGGTGGCGTCGGAACCGTCACATTGTTCAATCATATCGAGGAGCCGGATGTGGGTCTAGAAGGACGATGGATAAAAAAACAAGGAAGGCTATCTACCTCTTTTAGCATATCTTGTGGAGTCGGGCCTTCGAGATTGGTCACGAACTCGTTGATATCGGAGGGCGAAAAGACAGAAAGCGCTAAAACGAAATAAGTTAATGGTTTCAGGCCGATTATCCTACCATCATATGCCGTGTCTCGGATGATCATATCATCATGACGAATAAACTCAAACAACTGTGGGAGAGCCACTGAATGGGTGAAAGTCTAAAAAAAGAATTCGCATCAAAGGCTATTGGCTTACCCGTGCGATGTTATATTCTTCCGTCCTGCGATCAATTTTCGCCACCGTTATCTGGAAAAAAAAGTTGCACCAAAAGCACCTCAAATACCTCCTCATTTCGGAATAGCTTAATGTATTCCTTCAACGCATGCACATCATCATCCTTGCAATGACCGCGCAGTATGCGTACGAAGTCATGTGCAGAATATTCCTAAAGAATTCATATATTTGATAGTTTAAGCAACGTAAAATAAAACGAAGACAACAAATGTCTGACACACCTACCCCGGTCAAACACAACACGTTGATGATGTGAATGACGGCTGGGAGGTATTCATCGGGATCCCGCATCTGTGTGTCGATAAAAGCTTCAATTTCTTTCGGCAGCTCGCTAAAGCAGTAAGTAAATCTAAAAACAACAACAAAACCAACATATCCTCGCAAACTACGGCAGCCAACTCAAGCTTCGCGTTTCCCAAAATTAGGGGGTCGCCTGCAGCGGGGATACAAAAACCCTTGATGAGATCGTAAATATCTGCAAAAAGTAAAGATTAAAGTTTAACAGCCGCATACTTGAAAATCCAGCAAACAACGTGCGGACCGGCTGAAGGACCTTAGCTGGATCTGAGGAATCCCGCTGCAAATGCAGCTTCAAAAATCCGAGAACGGTTGTAAGCAGCGCCTGAAAAAAATTTAAAAACATACAACCGAAAATTGTCATCGGATATTCAGAATCCAAAGACTCACCCGGTTCTTCGTTGCGACCAGGATCTCTGCCAACGTTGAAAACAGCTCCGAATCACTGTATTCGAAATAGGAACTGGTGTGAATCGTCATCAATGAATAGACGAGCGTCGTCGACTAGAGAACACGTTATCAACGGTCACACAAAAACACCCACCAGCTCCGGTCGGGCAGCCGCAATTCTGACCAAAACTCCGAATCCTTTAGAAATCTGCTCGCTGGTGCTTTTCGCAAAAAGTCCAAACATCAGCCCGACCGTCTTCAATGAAAAGTTTGGCCCGGAAACTTCAACCAAAGATGTAACTAGAAAGCAATGAATTCGTGAAAATCAAGCTCCTTACAATATTCTTGCAGGCTTGCTCCATCTTTAATAAGTTCTTCGTAGTATTCAAAGTCTGTCAAGTGTCCGGCATCCTTGGGTTCCGTTAGAAAACGGTGCTGCCATCCTTTCAATTTCTCGACGAGACGCAGAGCCTAAAACCAGATCGTTTTTCTTGACATCTCCAAGGCTTAGACCTTTTCAAAGACATCGCGGTTGGCGCACAGAACCGTTATGCCGTTAGCCGCCATAACTCCCGCGAGGGCAGGCAAATTGCATGGGTGGGGCGCCGCTAAAATAAAATATTTTCATAGCTCGAAACAAATTACCTTTTTCCACAAGATGGTCATTCCCGAAGAAATTTCCTGAGAATGACAGCATGTATTTTGGGCTTGTAAACAGCTCGGTCGACAGCCCACCTTAAAAGCAGAGTTAGTTTAAATAAAAAAACCAACCAAATTCTGGCAAATCCGAAAGAAAATGAAGCATAAGGTTGCTGCCTGGCAATTTCTTCAGGAGCCACTTTTTCGGAACACTAAAAATGAGTTGGCGGGTGCAAATCAAAACACACTTGTTGTACAGCAGGAAAAACTTCTTCTCCGGTGACAGAATTTGGGCTTCGATTAGATTCTCCGCTACCATCAAACGGTAATCATGGCGTAGCTTTTTGGATCGCAGAATGTTCATCACCTCGATGGCAGCCCGCTCGCTAAAAATTTTTTTGCAAGAGGATCTGTCAGAAAAAAGATCACCTCGTGATTCTCTCGGGTGCAAAGTGAGCCATCACCAATTCACCGAATTGTACGTCATCCGTACGAGTCTCCCAGAGCGCATCCAGGGTGCTAAATTAAACAATAGTGAGCTGCAGTGGCGAACCAACTCGGATATGTTCGCCTCATCCAGAAGAAGGTAATATGCAATCATAACATCTTCCGGAGACTTGTTACGTTGAGGCTGAAAGAAAAAATAGATCGTTCTCAAGAAAACGCACCCGTAAGGCCTTCCTCACACTTTCCAGAGTTATATTCTTTGCCGCCACACGGGTTGTTATATACTAAAAAAAGATTGAAACTTTACAAAACGTGGGAACTTACCTTATTCGCAAGCCTAGCGACGAATGGCCCGAAGCCATTGAAGCATCGCCAAAACAAGGCACCCGTCTGTTCCTAAAAAAACGTTTAAAAATAATTTGCGCAGATTTCATTTGCAAACGCCGCATACTGGATAAAAAAAATGCCTTACCCTAAGTCTACCATCATCGTCCTTGGCGCCTTCGAATTGCTCCACCAGCTTGCTGAATGCGGTCGCCTGCAAAGGTGGATCCTTGCTGTTCAGCATCGTCTCGATAGCACCCAAATCTTTGACAATCATCGCCTATAATACAAAATACAAAAGGTTCGCGTAAAACTAAAAGAAAGCATAAAAATATTAGGAGAAACGAAAGAAAAGTCGTGGGGAAATAAAAATGAAAGGAGATTCCGCGCGCTTTCATTTAAAAAGTCATCGTAGGCTGCGGGGCGCGTTTTAGAAGCGACGGAAGGACGACTATCACTAATCCTACATCTGTACAATTCTAAACCTAATTAGAAAGCCTTCTCTACAATTCTCAGATGAAGGTTTTTAGCACTAAAATCTAACAACAACGTTGCTGCAATACTGCAATAAACTCCAGGTTCTTTTTTTGCAGGTTCGCCCGGCAAGGCTGGACTTTCGAGGCTGGAAACGTGATTTCAAAGCTAATGCAATAGTAATTTTCAATCCAAAGGTAAAAAATAATTTAGCTATTCGGTTACGCATGGGAACTGGGCGGATCGCGCGGAGCGATTTCCCTCCAAAAGCGTTTGCAAAGTGTGTTATAATGTGCTACTCTTTCGCGCAACAGTAAAAATGCCTAGAAAAGCCGCAACGTTGAATCAAAAGATATTCACAGCAATATGTTTATTTAAATTCACCAGAACAAGGATTAGTATCACTTTTCGGAGACCCCAAATGTTACAGGAAGTGGTGAGAGAATAATTCTAGAACATTCGGGATAATGTTAAAAGTCACAGACCCGTAGAAATTAAACATACCCCGTCCCTTGTGATGGTCACAATACAAATTTCACAGGTAAAAATAAGAGAAAAACAATAGATTATGAGGTTAAAGCTAAGAATAGAGCTAGGTTATTAGAGGTTGTAGAACCATGCGGCGCCGTCGAGCCTGAGACGAGATGCCTGAAAAAAATGGATTAAAGGGCTGCCGACGACGCGCCCCCACAAATAGCCAACAGGGGGGGGGGGGGGGAGAGACATTTTCTTTTCCGCGGTCCGTTTGGCTATGCGGGCTCTTTAATAGACGATTTGATCCACTAAGCATTATAAACTCAAAAATATGTAAAACCCCACCTATCGCCTGGCAATGATGCGCTCCATTTGTTGCATCATGGGAGCTATCTTGCGACTGTATTCTTCAAACGCATCAGCCATCCCTGAAAAAAAGAGGATTACGGAGTATAGATCAAACCCTTTAAACGTCAGTCCGCTAATGTTCAAAATCTACCAACCTTTTTGTAAAGCAGCCATAGCTTCTTGTCGGCCTGAAAATAAAAGGAAAATTAGTAGGAAAGCTGCAGCAGCCGCAGTAGAATATAGAATAATTCCTGAAACTCACTTCTCTCTTTCTCCATCTTTTGGCGCCGAGTTTGGCGCTTATCCTCCTCAGCATCCAAAATTGCATTTTGCGCGAAACCTGAATTGACCATGAAAAAAGGGAGCCTAATGATTCGAACCTCGCGGAAGCTTGAATTCCGGAAGGGGTCGCACGGTCTGCTGGAAGTCGCGTGGATTGATGCACAGGTGCGAATCTGAAATAAAACAGTCTGGTCATACAATAACTTTTAGTTTACCTTTATCTGGATATTGGTCCTCCCTGGGGCCACGCCAGTCGAACTCCGGCAGCTCGATCTCGACGGTCGGGCGGAGCTCGCGTGTCGCTAAAAAGAAATATCATCTGGGAAGCTTGACGCGCCCTAAATTTCTCGAGCCTTTAAAAATTAAAACGCACATCTTTTGGTCATGAACTTGGACGAAGCTTTAGCCGGTTCTTCGGTGCCCGACCCAGAGGACGGGGAATCGGTGACCAGGAGCGACCGATCCTTCGGTTCTCGTTTGATACGCTTGCGTGCCTAAACCAAAATTTGGTAACTCGAAGTTCAGCAATACCTTGTCAGTTTTTGGCGGGCGTCCTCGCTTCCGCGGCGCAGGCGTTGTGACGAATACTAAACGAATATAAACGCATTAAAAAAAATACGTGAAAATACCTGGTGAGATGGAGCGCGACTCGTCGGGCGATGTGCTCGAGCTGGGAGCACTGATTTCTAAAAGAGTATATAGTTAATGTAGAAGATAGAAAACGAGAAACCTTGCTTGGGGGTCCCGACGTCGACGTCGAGGTGCGGATCGCCCAGATTCGATCCAACAGCGCCCAAAATGCTTCTGCGCGATGGAGAATGCGAAATATTATCTAAAAAACAGAAAGTTTGATGAAAACAAGAAATGATTACCAAGCTCCGGCTTCATTTCAGTTTCGTCGGCGTGGTTGAGCGGGGCGCGGTTTCGGGGACGCTCTCGAACACTGAAAAACCATAAATAAAGATCGGGTAATAAGAGAATGTTATTTTTATACTTATAAACGAACATTTGGGTAGTTGGAAACGATTCATGAGTATGTGCCGTTGGAATGAGACCCTTTTTCTTATAGGCCCAGGTTCGCCTGGTAATCAAAAATAAATTTTAACTATGTTTAAAGTCGAGAAACAAAAAAAAGCTAGACAAATGTTTGAAATGCTAAAATTTGGTCATTTAGGTCGGAAATGAAATCTACTCAAGGATCGTGGAAAATTGTAAAGCCAACGAAATAAAAAGAAACAGAAAAGCTAGAAACGAAACCCAACCCAAGCAAAGAAAATAAAGAAGAAGAAATACCTGGATCTCTCAACTTTGGCGGTCGGCCCCTGCGCGCTGGGACCTTGTTGGCCTTCTTGACGATTGAAGCCAGCAGGCGTTTTACTGAAAATTATTAGTTTGCTTTAGCAAATACCAGGAAGTATTTCACGAGAAAAATCGCAAAAAAGAGGAGTTGTTAAATGAAAGAAATTGCCATAGTAAAAAGCTTGCAAAAGAAAAGGGTAAGCTCCGGATAGCTGATAAAAGAAAATGATTGCGCAAGAAAATCGAAAATTCCGCGGCGAAATAAAACGAAACGCACCTTTGAAGGGGTTCTTTGGGTAAAAGGAAACGATTCTTGAGTATTCGCGGGGGAATTCAGAGCCTTTTTCTTATATTGTTTTCAAAATGTGTTTCCCTTTCTTTCAATATGTTTTCTTATCAAGAAAAAGTATGGAGCTATTGATGTTGGGGGGGCATCTGTTTGGCGCCCAGTCTTAGGCGTAGGCTTAGCTTTAACTTCGCGTAAAACAAAATGCCCCAAAACGGAAACCCCCAGAAAAGGCGCCTGGACCCTAGAGAATCCCTCCCAACGCCTCATGCAAATGTAGAAAAGTTGCAAATATCAAAGTGTTATTTCAACTAGGCCACCTGGACAAAATACGTCTGAAACGGTACCTTTCATTCCTGGCCCTCTTGGGCGAAAAAGGCGAAACGGCACCGCTCCGGTGAAAATTTACGGTACGGTTACGGTATATTTGGAGATTCGCAGCGGGATCGATTTCCGGGGGCGCGTTTTAGAAGTGACGGATGGGCGACTATCACGAATACTACATCTGTACAATTCGAAAAATAGATAGAAAGCCTTCTCTACAATTCTCAACTTAAGCTTTTTAGCAGTAAAATATAACCAACACGTTGCTGCAATCCTGCAATAACCTCTAGGTTTTGTTTTCACAGGTTCGCCCGGCCAGGCTGGACTTTCGAGGCTGAAAAACCATATTTCAGAGCTGAAGGGATAACAATTTGCACTAGAAAACTAAAAAAATCGATTCAGATATGTGGTTTTATTTTCAAGAACCATCGTAGGCTGCAGGGCGCGTTTTAGAAGTGACGGACGGACGACTATCACTAATTCTACATCTGTCCAATTTTAAAAACAATTAATAAGCTTACTCTACAATGGTCAGCTGAATCCTTTTAGTAGTAAAATAAGAACTAAACAGAGAAAAAGAAACTTTGTTCATCCTGCAATAACCACCCGGCTCTGTTTTCGCAAATTCGCCCGGCCAGGCTGGCCTTCGAGGCTGGAAAACGATATTTCAGCGCTGACGGAATAAAAATATTCAAAAGAAAACTAAAATTACAGCTCATAAAATTAGTTTTTAACCTTTTGGTCCAAAATTTATGAAGCCAAAACAGGTTGAGATTTTCGACTTTCAAAACCGTTTTGAACTTTTTTATCACTGGTTAGCAGAGGCGTAGCTGATCCCGAATTTCGGGAGGGGCAGCAACATTTCGGAGGGGGCAGCGAGAGAAATTTTTTCGAAAAAATTTGCGAATTATAAAAATCATAAGGGGGCCCTTACGTTTTTCGGGACCACCGGATTTCGGGAGGGAATGCCCGCTCCCTCCCCCTCCTACGCGCCTGCTGTTTGGCAATGAAAACTACGGTAAAAAATTCAAAAGGATCATAAAAAAAAGTCATAAAAAGTCATAAAAAATTATGTATTCTTATCATTTTAGATAGATGAAAACGAAAATTAGTTTCCCCATGCTAACAGCCCAGTAGGGGAAAATTAATGCGTTTCTGGTGGCGTTTTGTAAAATGTTGTACTTTTATGAGGCGTTAACACCGGCACGTTTTATTCGCAATAATCCGTAATTCGAAATAATCGTCTCGATTCGGTATCGCCGACGGAAAATTCGCGTTGTTCGACCCTCCTGCAAAAAACCCCGGGTTTTTATAAAGAACTAAACCGTTTTTACAGCATTTGATAAAGTTTTTTTTTTGATAGAACAAGCACGTATTTTCGAAATTTTGAAATTTTGGTCAAAAATATCAGAAAAATGACGGTGCCTGTATTCTTGGGTGGCCAAGCTGTGATGCGGGCTGTTGTTACGGTAGTAGAGGAGGGAGGATTCTCTCGTTTTCGAGCGATTACCTGTGGTTGATTGGGTATAGGTTTTCGGGGGGTGTGAGGGCAAACTTTGTCGATTTTTCCACATGCAACAGAGATAGCAGCAACAGCAAGAGGCTACGGCAACGGCAATAATGACGGCGATGGTGGCTTTCATCCAATCAGGAATGTAGGAGACAATTTCGATTAGGCCCATATCGCATTCGAAGACACCTAGATTGTATAGTCGGTACTGGACTCTTAGCGGGGGAGGCACTAATTTTTGTTTTTCCTTGTTTATCCCCTGTTAATAATAAATAGTGTATTTTATAATGTTTTTCGTAGTTTTATTGCTAGAAGTTACAAAATATACTTGCAAGTTTTTGAAAATTCGAAATTTTGACTTTTTTTTGGGCAAAACGTCAAAGATGTTTGTAATTTTGGATGATATTTTTTATATGCCTAAACCGTATAAAATGCTATAACAATGGTTTATATTCTATCATAGGACCGTACATGATTAATGGGAAAAGTTAGTCCCGCCTTTTAAAAGACCCCCCCCCCCGCTAACAGTCTAGTACCAAATTTTGCTAAGGATAATTTGTCGGCTCATTTTCATGTGATACTAGGGGCGGCATTCATAAAAAATGGAAAATAAAGTTTGTTTATTGCTAAAAAAATATCGAGCCTTTTGTGACGCGTGAAAAAGTTTAATTTTGATGTTTTAATTTCATTAGTGTTTTTCTTTAGCCTCGCTACAACTTTTTTTTGGCGAAACCGGATGCGTTCTCGAGGACCAACGCAGCGGCCACCCCGTTCGTTCGATGTTGGTGGTCTCGGGGCGGCTATGTCCAAATGGACATTCGCTCTCCGGTCAACTGCATTCCCAAACATGTCACCCCCAAATGCAGAGCTCTCAAAAAAAAGTACACCCTTGTCATTTCGTCACCTTACGTCCAATTGGTCCCAAAAATTGGACTAGAGGTATATTAGAGTCTAGATAACGAAAATCGTGATTTAAAGCCTGTTAGCTAAAGTAGTTTTCGAGTCAGTAGAAAAATGGGTCTAATTTTTAATTTTTCTTAGCGATTTCAAGGGATGGACCTTAAAGTGGTTTGGAAAATACGTCAGTTTCAGTGTTTTAGAATTCTTCATTTTCAGAGGGTACTGGACTGTTAGCGGGGGGAGGGTTTAGCAGGGGGAACCAAGTTTTTCCAAGTAATCCTGCCCGCCTTTAACGAAACGTTAGTTTAAAGTGTTTTTGCTACAGTTCATAAATGAAAATGAAATATATGAAAATGACGAAAAAAGGTCAAATTTTCGAATTTTGAATTTTTTTCATCTATTTTTTAAGTTTGTAGCAATCAAAAACGACTAAAAACAATATAAAAATACTTTTTATGGTATGAACGGTTGATACTATATACGGAAAGACAACGAACCGACAAAACAAACATACCCTGTTCAGTAAAACCGCAACTCCGCAGTCTCGGCTCCATAATCTCATTTTCTTGTTGGCTCATAGGTATCAACGTGTACTGCGGATTAGCATCGGCATTTTCGAGCGGGTAATTCAGGTATCCACCATACACACGACCGTCCCCAAGTCTGAAAGACTTTTGAAAATTGATATATCGCTCCCTACCGAAATTCAGCAACTTCTTCCACTTCCTCGGGTGTTAGAGAAGCAGTGATGTAATATGGGATATGATCGTAATCCGCTGTTACCTGTAATTTTGATATAGGATTGATAGGATGTAATTTAGAAATTAAAATGTACCTTGTCGGCTAACTTCGTTAGATCCATTGTTGCAATATTTGCCGTTCTGCTATCGATAACAACGAGGTAACGCCTAGGTTTCTCTGGGTACTGGACTGTTAGCAGGGGGGGGACCAAATTTACTTTTCCGTCTATACCAACCTGTTAAAAATAAATAGTGCATTTTATTATGTTTTTCGAAGTCTTCGATTGTCAGACGGTTACCAAAAACTTGAATGTTTTTTTAATTCGAAAATTTGGACCTCTTATAGTCATTTTCATACTTTTTTACCAAAAAGTGTTCGGATATTTTTATACATTTTTATAAAAAGTTTTATGTATTTTTAAAAACTATGTATAATGCTATAAAAACGATTAATATTTAGTTTTAATGCCGTGCGTGATTACTTTCAAAAATAAATTTTCTCCGCGGAAGCCCCCCCCCCGCTAACAGCCCAGTACCCTCCTTTGTATTATTTATATACTTTGCATTTCGCTTTAAATATACCAAGTATCATGTTGCTGCAAATCGACCCGAATAGCCGATTTTAATTCGAGAATTCGCTGGTGCTCGGCGTTTCCGATAAACTCCACAAAGACGCTTGGTGGGTTGATAGAGCATGGTCTTTCCAATAGGTTCCATTGTCTGCAATACGGATTTTCTATTATATACGTATTTAATTACTTTATAAATTCTACTCCGCAATATTACCGTCTCAATATCGGACTCCATTTATTCCAGACACCATCGACTTTTGCGCGCACAGAAAATGTATATTCCCTTGGTCGTCGTTTAAGGTTGAAAAACAAAAAGCACTTCCATTCGCATCCGAATTTGGGGCATCTTGAGAAATTTTTGTATTTTGTAGGGCTAGGTGGAACCTTAAATCTTCTTCCTTCAATTCGCGTGTTTCAATAATCGGATCATCAGAATGTTGGTCGATTGTAGCGTAACGAAGCTAGAACTATCGGATGTAATGCTTTAAGCTTAGGCTTAGGTATTGGCTTAGGCTTAGCTTAGGCTTAGCTTAGGCTTAGCTCAGGCTTAGCTTAGGCTTAGCTTAGGCTTAGCTTAGGCTTAGCTTAGGCTGAGCTTAGGCTTAGCTTTAGCTTAGCTTAGGCTTAGCTTAGGCTTAGCTTAGGCTTAGCTTAGGCTTAGCTTAGGCTTAGCTTAGGTTTGGCTTATGTGTAGCTTGGGCCTAAGCTTCGGCTTATTAGGCTTATGATTAGGCTAGACTTATTAGATTACCTGGTAAACAATATTACTAGCAACAGTTAGTGGTTGGAAGACAATCGAGGCGGCCGTATCGGTTTCAGAGGCTACTCGAGCCTCCGGAATTGTGTATTCACCTGGAAACGGTAGATTAGGAACCTTTTGTAATTTTTAAAGGTATAGCAGTGTTGCCATGTAAAATTTCATGATGCCTAATTATGACCTTGAACCAACGTCGAAAAGATGCCCCATGTGCTCTTCATTTGCCCGGGTTTCAACCATTTTCCTTTTGATTTGTCTTGCTGAAAAAAAAGTTTCTGGAATAAATTTATATAATTGATCTTATGCATTTAATTCTTTAATTGCGATTAAACCCACCTCCATAGCCGTTACCAGGGTCACATTATAGGTGCTTCCGGGCGCCAGATTTTTTAGCTGAAATTCGCTGTTCCTGCCGGCCTCGATGAAGCCGGCTTCCATAATTTCCTTTTGCACCCGCTCATTTGAATGTACGGTTTTGGCTAGAATCTAAAAATAGTTATTCACTAGACCGTCGATTTCCGCTTACCGTAAATTTCGCGTTCGGGGTGGCCATCCAGGCGGACGGCCAGGCCACGGTCAGTGAATTTGGGGTGCGAGCCTGAATATTTTAAAGGTAGAACGTTGCTCGGTACTGGGCTGTTAGCGGGGGGCTCATTTTTGTTTTTTCCCATCTATACCTGTTTATTCTAAATAGTGTATTTTTATGGCGTTTTTCGTTGTTTTTGATTGCTAAAAAAGTTACAAAAATAATTTAGACCTTTTTGTTCAAAAGTTGACGAAAAATCAGAAAAATACGAAATTTTTATATAAATGAGCTATAAAAATTCGAAACTGTAAAAATGGATTATTTATATTGTGTTATTGTCCGTACAGAATTAAAAAATAATTTCTCCCCTGCTAACCGACCAGTACGGTTTACTCTACAGTACCTTTTGTTTCAAAATATAGGCCAATCCGGGTACCAGTGTATTTGTAGCCGTCCACGCTGCACTACCGTATCCAAATGTAGTCCCAGCCTAAAGCTTGTATCATATAGCATCCAATTTTTCTACCTGTAATGTAACATTGTATACAGCTCCCGGGTTCAGCCTCGTCGCCAAATACGACGTCTTCGGGATGGCAATACTGGTGCTCACCTTCTTTGTAAAGGTCTGCGTCTCAGGGTAGAATTCGTAGATATTGATCTACTCTGAGGTTTGGGTGAGACAACTGGTGCTTACAAAATATTGGTTGATGACGATATGATGCTGAGAAGCAGACATATCCGGTGGAGACCAAGTGATCTCCAAAGAATCGTTCGATTTGGATACTACCGCCAGTTCGAGGGGTGGAGGCAGCCAGTCGAGTGCTAATTTCGATTTTTATGAATTATTTTTTTCAAATACCAGCAAGAGAGGTGCGCGTCATATCACTTTTATACCATAGGCTCGTTCCTTCAGAACTGAAAAAATATTAGAATTGGCAAGTTGGCTATGCTAATTTTATAATTACCTAAATGCCTCAACACTGACTCTATATGTTGTATTCCCTTGTAGACCATGAAATGTGAAATTTCGGATGGCTCCATCGACTTGAAAAGCCCGAGATTTTCGGTTGTTCTCTGGAAATTTGGGATAAGATTCGCTTAAATTCGCTTGTTAATCGTTTTAATTTTCGAAATATCGACATTTCTAAGATGCTCATAATGTCCATAGTATCAAAATTTTATAATACCGACAATTCAAGACGTTGAAAGGTCAAAATACCGACAATTCAAAACGCCGAAAATTTACCGAAAATTTAAGATGTCGAATTTTCACGATGTTAAAATGTAGATATGTCTAGTATAAATAAATGTGAATTAGCTATTATGAATTTTAAGAATATAATTCTACAGTATAAAGCTTGATATTGTTTTTCGAAATTGTAAATTTTAATATTATGACCCCCTATAGTAATAATTTTCATATTCTAATAGCAAATACTTTAGTCCACCTTTCAAGTCAGTAACCATGAGTCTTTGCCGAGCAGTGGCATTGGCAAATTCTTCCGGAATTCGCCAGTTGATATCTATTCGATCATGTCGAACATCAGCTACTTGAACAGGCTCGAGACTTTCGGACCAATCCAGGACTAAATGGGCTAACTTCAAGCAGCCATAAAGTCACTTACAAGGTATAACAATTTGTGGTGCTATTATCTGGATATTGGCTGCTAGACACAGTATAGAGATTGCCCAAGAAAACTGGAGATTCATAAAAAATGGGCGATTTTTTTGGTTGGACAGTGGGTATTTGTGGGCGGAAGAAAGTGACATTGAATGTGTTGTGTGTGTCTGTGTGAGAGAGTGGATTGATCGTTGTCACTGATAAACTGACATACCGGCTGGATTTCGAGGACGCTCGCTTTACCTTTTGTCAGTATTTTGGAAAAAGCTGGGGGTTGTATTAAAGTAAATATTAAGTGCGAATTTCCAAATTTCGTTGCATTTTCGTGTTTCGTCGATACCTACCTGTTAATAATATAAAACCATGTTTTTCCTTCTGTTCGTTTGCTAGAAAGTTACAAAAAATATTTTAAACATTTCCAAAAATTCTAAAATTTACCTTTTTGGCCATTTTTCATTTTTTTGTTTTTTTTTTGTTCCGGAATTTTGATCGAAAATCAGCCCTTTTTCGACGAAAAATCGTATTTTTAACATTTTAAATAAAATTTTGTCAGGTTTTTACGTTTAGAAATAGCAAAAACCGTGAACAAATTGAAACCTTAGAAAAAGTTTGTGCTCCGATAATGCAAAAAACACCTTTAATAAAAGTTTTTGATTCTTTTGCTTTATCGGGGGTGGGGGGGGGGGCGGGGCAATTTTTACTCAGAATCCGAATTACTCTGATATCAATAGCGGAAATGTTTCTAAACCATTTTTACTATTCAGAAGCGTAGGCTTAGGCTTGGCTTATATAGGTTTAGGCTTAAGGTGGACTTAGGCTTAGGCTTTGACTTAGGTCTTCTTAGCTTTTTGGTGTCATTGCCCCTTCAAAGGCTTTTTTACTCAGCTCCCTCTAAAACGCAAAACGCCAAGCCAGCCGAAACGAGCGCACCGCCCTTCTCTCCACCACCGGTAGCAGCAGCACCATCATTTCGTCATCGCGCCCCCGAACTGCTCGATAACTCGTGGCTGCGTTGCATGATGTCCTCCCTCATCTACTGCCCATCCCCTACCATATCCCGTTGATACTCGCTCTTTGATCCTCTTTTTCCATTATCGTTCCGCAGTGCGCAGCCTACACCCCTACCACATGCCGATAAATAGTTTTTTATGCATCCAAAAAATACGGAAAATTCACAGAAAAAGATAATCCGATCGAAAAAGAGCTAAAATTCTTCCAAAAACTGTAAGACTTGAACAAAACAGTTTTCAGTAGCCCGGAAAATGTCCGAAAAGCTCAAAAATTCTCTAGCACTGCATCAAACTCGCAAAAAAGGGTACCAATTCCGGGTTTTAGAGTCTAACTAGGGAGGTATCTTAACTCGGCATCGAACTTTGAGAAGTCAGATACACCATTCGACGCGCCTTGTCGAGGGGATTCCAAATATATAATAAAATCATCCAGAGCGTATAACCGTAAAAAGTTATGAACATTTTAATTTTTGCATCGAAGAACGCCGCTCGATATGAGCCCCTCCCAGCGCACCCCGTTCATCGGTCCCGTGGCCTAGTGGTGTGCGCATGGGTCTCTGAACTGTACGGCCAGGGTTCGGATCCACTCACGATTTTTATTTTTTGCTTTTTGACCAGTTCCTACTTTTTGCTTTTCCAAACTCGGGAATAAGTTTTTCTTGACTGTGTGCCCCCTAAAAGGCACCAGCGATGATAAAATAACCTCACGCAACAAAACCAGGATTGGACGCTCTCTATATCAAAGTTGGCAAAATCGACAAAAACCGCCCTTTTAAGGCTCTGTACGAATTCGAAGGATGTAATTTGTCAAAAATGGAACAGTACATCTTCATCAGCAGAAAATTCCCTTTCGAATGAGCTATCTTACATAGGCTATACGCGAAATTCTCGAAACGTCTTCGGCAAGCTGGCCAAACCCTACCCTTACACGGCATTCCAAAAATATTTTTTGTGGAAATTTTTGGCAGCCGTATGTGATATAGCTCATTTCAAAGGGCTTTCTTTGTTGAACAAGGAACACTAATCAGTTTAGACTAAATTCCATTCCGCGGGATGATACAGGGTCTCAAAGATACTGTATTTCACCATTTTGTCGAATTTGAATGCTCATAATTTTTTATTACATTTCACCAATTTTTATTTCACCGTTTGATTACATATTTGGAATGCCCTCGACAAGGCGCGTCGAATGGTGTATCTGACTTCTCAAAGTTCGATGCCGAGTTCAGATACCTCCATAGTCAGAATACCAAGAACCGCCAAATTTGGCAAAACTATCCAAAAGAATACGCCATACATAGTTTTTGAAGGGCCAAAAGGACGTCTAGAAAACCCTTACGGCTGAAAGGATGTAAAATTCGGCGAAAAATTGAAACCAGGCTAGAAAAGGGTGTAAAAATCCACTAAAACGCTTTTATCGACCCAAAAATTCAGGGAAAATGTGCCAAAACGTCGTATCTACATCGAAAAGACCAAAACAGATGCAAAAAAGGTCTAAATTGGAAAAAACGCGCAAAAAATAGCGTTTTTTTAGGTTTTTCGCGACTCGATTTCCAATTTTGGACGACTACGTGGCAATACTCCCGACGGATATTCGTAAGTGTTGCGCTTTGGAATCTTATTTTTATCGATAATTGCGCGTTTTTGCTGCTCCTAGGGGTCTAAAAGCTGGTTCCTATATTCTACTCTTTACGATTCACTTTCACCTAGCTTATTTCTTTTTATGATTGCCTATCCTTTTCAGAAGATGGCCGCCCTCAGCCCCGAACAGATAGCCGAAGAGGTAGTGTTTTGGAACGGTTTTGAAGTTATTTAGCTTTTTTGGCACAGGGTTTAGGCCTTGCTGCTTAGATTTTTTGCGTAGAATTCGAATATAGCGAAATGAGCTTAGAAACACAATATTTTCAAGCAGATTTTATTATTGTCCGCTTTTTTAAACTTTAGTAAACTCATTTCTAACTTTAAAACGTAATTTTAACGTTTTTTAAAATCTTACGAGACTAATTTTCCCTTTTTTCAGCTCAGGACTATGCGCCGCGAGATCGCGGACGTGAGGGCCGAGGCCGAGCGAGACGGCCAGGAAGTGGAGAACGAACTGCAGGCCGTGCGTGACGATTTCGCCCTCTCCATCGCCAAGCTCGACGAGAAAACGGCCAACGTCAAGAAGGAGCTGGCCAACGTCAAGAAGGGGCTGGCCACGGTCAACAAGGCCCTCAAGAAGAACGCCAAGCCCATCAAGTCCATCGAGAAGCGGTACGTTTTCGAAATTTGCAGTGCTTGCGCAATATCGGGGGGGGATATAATTTGTTTTTGTTTAAGTTTAGAAATGCCTAGTAAATTAATAGGAAGTTTTAATCATGTTTTTAGCAAAATGCAACTATATTTTAACGAGAAAACTTAAAATCTCTAAAAAGCTTTTTATGTCAGTCTGCTATGCCTGGGCAATTAATACGAAGTATTTTCATGATGTTTTAGTAAAATAAAGCCAAATTTTGACTAAAAAAACTATCTTAAACTTTCAAAAAGTCGAATTTTGGTCGAAAAATCCATATTTTCTGTATTTTTGTAATCAAAATTTGTAAAGTTTGTTTTCACGTTTAAGATAAGTAAAAAATGTTTAGAAACAGGACCTGTATCTGTATTTTCAAAATCCCCCCCCTCCCCGGCATTGCAAAAGCGCCTTTTACTCTTACTGTTTTATGCTCCTATTTAGAATCGAGCAGCTCTCCTCGCAGATTCAAGCCGTCCAGTGTCTTGGTTCCGGTATATTTTTTGTTACTTTAAAATAGTTGTGAAAAGTTAGGAAAGAAAAATTTTAAACTTTATTTTGAAAAAAGCTATTTTATTGCGGAACGGATGGAATTTGTACCTAAAAGTTTTTGGAAAAAAGGCTATAACTTTTAAATGAGATTGTCGAAAAGCAAAAATAAAATCGCTATTACGAATAGCGAAGAGTTCTCCTCGTCTCGTTTAGAGCTTTCATAGATAACTCCTAATCGTGAAAATGGGTTCCTTGGTTTCGTTTTCTATATTTTTCTGACCCTATAAAAAATTTTTTAGCTATCGGCGCGGACACGGTGGCCCGTCGGACGACCAAGCGCCACCAGCAAACGTGTTCTCCCGCCTCGGAACCTTCTGTTAAGGTATAATAATTATTTATATTGTTAAAAATGCTGGAAATTCAGAACATTTTTTTCATAAATTTTCGGCCAAAATTCAAACGTTTGCGAGAATTTTTGTAATTTATATGAGCTTATTTATTATCGAAAACTTTGTAAGATGCTAAAAAAAATTATATCTTGTGATAGGTCAGCTGACTGCAAAGTATCATTATCTTTTTAATCGAAATAATATATACTTTTTAGGTGACCCGTCGCAAGTGATGCGCACTGAAGGACTCTACCCTGCACCAACCTACACCGCCACATCGTTCTCCTCTACAAATGACCCCCCCCTTTTCTCCCGCCGATTTCTCTATATTGTCCCCACTATTCGCCACATTAAATTTGATTTCTGTTGATTTCGTTGCCCGGATAAAGATTCTTACAAATATACTAGTCTTTTGGGATTGTTTCGTTCCTTCGGTTGCAATTACTTGAAGTTTTGCTTTTAAAATATTCACTTTTGAAGCCGAATTATTTTCCGATGCACGCAAAAAAGGTGTGGAGGTGCGCTAGCGATTTTTCCACTAATTACCTAGTTCGCTAAATACTACAGTGTTTAGGATTGATTCGGAATAGAAAGAGTATTTGGTTCGAAATTTACTTTTGAACAAAAGTACAGGTTGTTGTAACATTTCAGAAGTTCTCTCCGCTTTTTAAACACATTTTTATGCCAAATAATCTTGTTTTTCTAGAAAAACACCCTCGGACACCAAAGGATTTTCGATTTGGAGCTTTGAAAAACTTGGTGCGAAACTTTAGGGGCATTTACTGGCTTAAAAGTCGAGCTTTGTGGGGCTTTTCCTCTTTTTGAAACAGTTTTTCAACTACATAACCTCATTTATGTGAAGGAAGACCGTTGAATTTCCGATTTAGCGACGATAAAAACTTATTTAAATCATCTACCATTAATGTTCCCCCAGCCGGGAAGGTCACCCCATAAACATCTGCTAGGAATCTATGGACCTCGTGGCGCAACCAACACTTCATGCCAGCATCTCCCAAAATGGCATTCCGCTCCAGTTTCTCGCGGCAATATGGCTCGATTGGTGGGGATAGCGTGGATTTGGAAGGTATTTATTATGTATTTTATTTTATTTATATAATTTATATCTATTTTATTTCTATTAATCTATATTTTATTACTCTAGAAAAATAAACGGACCTTTAATTCAGGTTTAATGCTTTTCAGACAGTCAACGGGAATCAATTGGATTTGAATATGTGTCGAAAGCTGAACGAAAATGGAAGGTTAGTGGTATCTCGCTGTACTATGAATACCGTACAAAAGCGTAGTGTAACGTACTTCGCCATCAAAATTCCAGCTCCGCGTGGTCGTGCTCCATTTCCTGGCCCATCTCTGGGCCCTCGCCTTCCTATTTTCCGGCGGCTTGACCCTGTCCTTCTTCTCGCGCTACGTCTGGAGCAATTATGGGCACAGTCATAAAAGCTTGGGTAGGCACTTAAATAATCGAATTAAATACAGAAAATAATATTATTTAAATTAAATTAAATATTCCATAATTATAAATTCAATTGCTTTATTTTAGGAATTTTTCTAATCGCGACGCTAAGTGAAGGGCTGTATGACCGTGCTGAATGGTTTTTACTGTGTGCTGGTGAGTTAAAAAGAATTATACAAAAAATTTATTCTCGTAATGTCGACAAACATAATGTCGAAATTTCATAATGTCCAATGCCAATAAGTCGTTTTTTTGCAGAGGATTGGCTGTTTTTCCAAGAATTTTTCCTGTAAATTTCGAAATTATGATTTTCGCCGTTATGACGTTCCGAGATTCTGAAATTTTCATAATCTGACGTTTCGACATTATCAGTTTCGACGTTTTGAAAGTAACCTTACACAAAAACCTTACCAAAAAATTACAGGCGCCTGCCTAGCCCTCTACATGATCAACCTTGAATGTGAAGGGAACGTCGTCGAACCGATGCGAGTTGTCGTCCTCTATCTAGTTACCGTAACCGTGCTCTGCCAACTGGCCTTTCTCGGCGGCTTCCTCTTTTGGGTATTTGGCTTTTGCAACCCGGAAACTGCCTCTTTCGTTGCTGATTTGATCCCGGAAGCGTCCTTAGATCTCTCTGTTGTGCTCTCCATTTCCTATATTTTCTATCAAACCTATTTCTTACTCAAGCAGTTTTTTCAGTAGAACGGGTTATGTAGAAACTCCCGATTTCCCTCAAAAAATCAACAAAAATATTTCTCCTTGTGGAGATACAGTAATCCCAAATGAAAAACATAACTCTATAATGCTATTCTATCGTGTAGCAATTTCTTTTGTAACCGTTCTCGTTTTATTATTCATTGGCTTCTTTTAAAAAGTTTTTTAAAAGTATAAATTTTCTAACCGTTTTATTCTTTTATTTTAATTTTACAACAATTTATCGGGAATGATGCAGTGGATTTTGCGAACCAGAGGAGACTGAAAACACTTGCATATGACTGCGAAGCCGCCCAAAAATACTTTGGAAGAGCAGCCGACGCGCCTGTGGCAATTTATCAAAAAGTAATTCAAAAACCACCTGCGGGAAGCATGCAAAGATTACAAAAGTAGCGTTTATACCATAGCCGGTGGTCCCGAGGACTCTAAAAAAACTGCAATTTGTTTGGAATTGACAAACCCAAGCAACCAGAAGAGTTTCAGGTCCATTTCCGGTAGTAGTTCGGGCAGAAAAAACGTTTGGACGTTGGAATATATTGTTGAAAACATGCCAATGCATTTTGCTGGAAATTAAAAGAGTGGTAAACGTTCCTTAACGGGGGGGGGGCTTTCCTTATAAGGACTGGTTCTACCGTATCGAGCCTACCATCGGATAGAGCATCGAAAATTATAGTAAGAAACTTACTTTCAAAAATACCTTATATACAAGAGATTAAAGTTGTTTCTACCGCTGTTATTTCTCTCTTTCTCTCTCTCTCTCCCTCCCTCCCTGCCTCTCTCTCTCTCTCTCTCTCCCTCTCTCTCTCTTTCTCTCTTCTTTATCTTTCTCTCTCTCTCTTTCTCGCTCACTCTCTCTCTCTCTCTCTCTCTCTCTCTCTCTCTCTCTCTCTTTCCAAATCGCCTTCTCGCTCTCCCCGTCTATCTCTCCCCGTTAAGCGTAGTTTATCGGACGAACGAGAAGAACATAACCAGAAAACTTACGCAAATTGATTAAGAATTGGGCGATCAACATTTGCCTGGCAATACGATTGGGTACGGTATGCATGCGATAGAGATTGCGAATTAGCAGACAATAACAGATAACAGTGATGATGAATTCGCTGTTTGGCATGTAGGTCGAGTAGGCGAGCCTGCAGAAATGTACTTGTTAGGTTTGAAAAATTGGAAAATACTTGGAAAATATTTTAGGGTTTTTTCTGTCTCCAGGGAATGCGAAAAAAGAGTCGTTAATTCTTACCCGAAAAAATTTGGAGTCACGGTGCCGAAGGAGATCGAGTTAGGGCCCTATAAAAAGTGAAATGGAATACGGTAGTCTATACCATGGGCCATGATTTACATGGGACAAATATATAAATGTATAAGCCGATTGAAATGTTAATACTCCAAACGACGATCGTTTGTTGGAGCATGAACCGTTTGTTCCATACCTAAAAAATAGGGAAATATTTATGTTGCAAAAAAGAGCGAGCTTAGGCAAAACCCAAAGCAAAGCCTAAGCAAAGCCTACGCCTGAGCCTAAGCCTTAGCCTAAGCCTGAGCCTAAGCCTGAGCCTGAGCAAGGCTTCAGCCTGAGCCTAAGCCTGAGCCTGAGCCTAAACCTGAGCCTGAGCCTAAGCCTGAGCTTAAGCATAAGCCCAAGCAAAGCCTAAGCTAATTCTAAGCAAGGCTTAAGCTTAATTTCTAGACGTACTTTGTATAAAGTCAACGGTCGAGCACTAGCCCATAATCTAGTGATCGCCATTACAGTATTCCAATGCATACTTTGCGCACTCCATGCGGTGCATATATGGTAAAACATCTAAAAATAAAAATAAAACATTAAATTAATTCAAAATTAGCCACCACGACGTTGTATTTCCTGACTTACTTTCCCAAAAATATTCTCATACTTTTTATAAAAATCAAGCGCAATCCCGTTGGCCGGTAAAAGATGGCAAAAGATCTCGGCGTTGTAGATGAATATATGGGTCAAAACTGGGATATACACTTTTAAGGCAGCGATTCTTATAACCTACATATATTCCGCATGCACCATGCAAAAATCGGGCACAAAGTGCGATCCTTGAGGAATGTAAGCAGCAGGAACACATCGAGAATGCATGCAAATGGGATACACGCATCCAGAATTATTGTTAGCCAATCCAATAGATCCATTACAAGCTCTTAAAAATTATCGTAAAATGAAAAAAAAAATTATATGAAAATTTATAACATTAAATTAGGGTTTAACAGGTTTGCGGATTTTGCATGTTTTTTCTGTAACTTTTTAAAATTATGTGATTTCCGGCTGAAAATGAAAATTATAGTATATTTTTTGAAGCTTTATCGAATGACGTTCAAAAATTTGATAAGATAAATACTGAAAAGGTCGAAATCTAGCACTACGCAATATTTTCCTGTGAAAATCCCGATTAAAACTTGTTTTGCCATAGCTTTTTTTACTTCACATTATTTTGAGCTGAAATTAAACTCGCGGCTAATTTTTTTTTGATGCTCTAGCGAATGGCGCCAAAAAAAAACCAGAAAACCTAGCGAAAATATCAAACATTTTGGGACCTTCGGGCTGGGGAAGCAAATGAAATCTGACCAAAACTCGAAATGAAAATGTGCTCTGGATTCTGCCTGAAATCTGGACTGGATCTGGAGACTGACGTTAATTGCTCAAAATTCCCCAGGGATAAATGGAATTATTTGCAGGCGAAATGTGGGCAACGGCATAGCGAGTTGCTCAGAATCACCTGCAATGAAATTGCTTTAGACGTGAATTCCTTGAAGATCGGGTGAGTTCAAATTAGTAATACAAAGCGGAAGTGACGTGGAGGGGTCGTGGTGGGTCAAATTTAGGGATGCCTTGTAACATAATACTCTTGATTTTAAAACGGTCTTACTAAAATTTAACTATATTTAAAGTAAAAAAAACATTCTCAAAACTTTAAATTTCTTAAAAATCTCTCTGCCTCTCTTGCAATTTCTTTATCGCTCTATCTCTCTCACTCGCTTTCCCTCTCTCTGTTCTCTCTCTCTCTGTTCTCTCTCTCCCTCTCTTTCTCCCTCTCCCTCTCTCTCTCTCTCTCTCTCTCTCTCTCTCTCTCTCTCTGTCTCTCTCTCCCTCTCCCTCTCTCGCACTCTCTTTATCGCTCTATCACTCTCACTCTCTTTCCCTCTCTCTGTTCTCTCTCTCTCTGTTCTCTCTCTCTCCCTCTCTTTCTCCCTCTCCCTCTCCTCCTCTCTCTCTCTCTCTCTCTCTCTCTCTCTCTCTCTCTTTCTCTGTCTTTCGCTCTCTCTCTCGCGCGCTCTCTCTCCCTCTCCTTCTCCCTCTCCCTCTCCCTCTCTCTCTCTCTCTCTCTCTCTCTCTCTCTCTATCTCTCTCTCTCTCTCTCTCGCACTATCACGCTCAATCTCTCTCGCTCTCTCGCTCTCTCTCTCTCTCTCCCACGCTCCCTCTTTCACTCTTTCTCTGTCTTTCGCTCTCTCTCTCGCGCGCTCTCTCTCTCTCTCTCTCTCTCTTTCTCTCTCTTTACCCAGAAATACAAAATTGATCTCAACCTACCCCTATCGCCTACACCTTCCCAATTGCACTTTCATCCGTGTGCAATCCAAATCATACTGCAAAGCATTAAGGCTAGGCATTGATACCTCGTGGCCAATATGGGTTGTAACTGCAATTGAGGTCATCCCATCCCGCTTTTTCGTCATCTACCAAATATGGTCGCCTCAAATCGCCTGTCGCTTCCGACTTCTTTTGATGATGGTAAGTAGTTTACAGTTTAAGCTCTTTCTCTGAATGGTAGAACTGGATTTAAAAATTGCTTTAGAATCCGATGGCGGAGAAAATATCAGCAAGAAAAGCGTTTCAAGAAAGGTATGGAATCCAATTTTTGACTCTTAATATTTTTAGCTAATCCATTGCCTCCTCGAGGTACTGTGCCTGATTTGGGCGACAATCATTCTGTTGGCCGGTTCGCTGACGGGCGTCTTGTTGTGTGAGACGGTTTGGGGAAAATATCGACATACGCCATTTCTGGGTAGAATTAAAATTAACATTATTATATCGAGTTAAAGCCGACGTTTTGCCGCTGGTGATCACTCAGCTTTTGATGAATCGAGGGGCTGTGATCGTTATTCACTCGATATCAGTCACCTGTATGCTAATACTCACCTGTACCAAGCATTTAAAGTAGGTTTCAGGATTTGAAAGCTAATTTTTGGTTCAGATTCGAGCCACTTTGGATCCCCCGTGCGGCACTCTACGTTGTTTTGGCCAATTTCTTCCTCTCGGACCTCATCTCCTTCATTGCCCTCATTTTTCAAAAGTAGCATTTTATATTTAATTTTTCTAAATTGAATTATGGAGACGATTAAGCGCTAAAAATACTTTAGATTCAGCCGTCATCCGGGAGTGAGCGGGGCCCGTTACGCGACGATAGCCGCAACGCTACCGGTGACAACCCTACAACTTGGCCTCTGCGTTGCATTAATGCTTTTGACGGTGGCCGTCTGGAAAGTGTCACGCCACGCTTTTTGGATGATGTTTCCGCGTTATCGCAAACGAGCTAGTTATATAACTCTTTAATTTGTTTTCGTCTTGTTTTTATGATTGTTAGAATTTTTTAAGATGAATAAAACAATTTTTTAAGCGGCGAAAATATTGTTAAGTTTTAATACATAAAAAATTAATTTTTTTATTAATTTTGAGGCACTTTGACGATTTTTTAATTTTAAGGGTCTTTAAAGAATGCAATATTACATTTTAAACATTAAAAACGTTGATAAGATTTATTGCGTACAAAAAATGGCTTAATAAACAAAAAAATACGATTAACGATCACCGTACGCAGTAACCGTCCGTATTTTTGATACCGAAATTTCGCGCGTCTTGGTGCGATGCTTGTTGTAAGCAGCCTTACCGCGGAATAGTCGCCGCAAACCCTCCCGTGCCTAGAATTCACCCTGAACTTGAGCTCTTGCTCCAAAAAATCACCTGCGGGAAGCAGACAAAAATGACAATTGTCGCGTTGGTGCCGTAGAAAATACCACCGATTTGGCTGAGCAGCCAGAATAATTTCAACGAAATTTCCGGCCAATCCGGAAAAAGGAAAGCTTGCACATCGCTGTAGATAACAGTCACAATGGTTACTGTCTTTGCTAAATCCGTAATTTCATAACTGCAGGGTGTCCCAAATACGGCCTATCCGGAACTTCGTGGCCTTGCATCCAATCGGTCCCAAAATTAGACTAGATCCTGACTTATCGCCCCCATAGCTACAGTAGTTCTCGAGCTATAACCAAAATGCTGGTTTGGCTAGCTTTTTGGACATTTCATCGGTTTGCATCGACTTCCGGCCCTAAATCCCTAATTCCGCTTAACAACCTGGGCAATCCTGCGTTCTAAAAATCGTAAAATTGTAAAAAATAAAGTTTCTTTTTGTTATAACTCGCGAATTACTGTAGCTACGGGGCTATAAGTGCGGATTGATGTTATTTAAAGTCTGATACAGCTCGGGTCCAAATTTGGGACCGATCGAATGAAAGGCGGCGAAATATCGGACGGCTCATTTCGGAAACGCTCGATAAAAATTTGAAACTAACGAAGGTTGATGAGAAATTGGGCAATAACCGTCTGGCGGGCCACCTTTGAGGGGATTGTCTTCATTCGAGATAGGGCCAATGACAGCCACGCATAGCATAACACTAAACAATTGTGTTTGTTTTGATAATTCAAAATTGAAAAATTTAAAAAGGCTCTTACTTGCCAAAATAAGCGCAATATTCGGGGGATAGGTGGAATATAGGGTCGTGATAATATTCGGGGTTACTGTGCCGAATGAAATCGAGTTTTCGCCCTAAAATTATTGTTTAGCTGTAAAATATATAAAATTAGGATAATGCTAGATAAAAATTACCATAACCCAGTATCGGCAATCGACATTTACAATAATATGCACGGTCATCGCGAGGTTAACAGCCCAGATGATCGCTGTCGTGACCCAACGAACTTTTTGGGTCCAGAACTAGAAAGATATGTTAGAACGCTTTAAATTAACATAATTTAAGGTTATAGAGTAAGGTAAGGAATTAGTAAAGTGAAGCCTTAAGGTACCTTTTTGAAGGTAAAACTCGAAAGAATCGACCATAGCCGCGAAACGGCCATTACGCAATTCCAATAAGCACATTGTGGATGCCATACGGCCATTACAATGAAGAAAATCTGAAAATTAGTGGATTACTATTAATTTTAAAATAATAAGCTAAAATTATATTAAAATTAAGTGTCAACTCCCCACCTTTCCAACAACCTGCTGATTTGCTTTAAAGAACGGCAGAAAAAAGCCAAATAAAGCTGGTAGTCGAATGACAATTTCGCAGATATAGATTGCCATATGGGTGAGGACTAAAGATGTTAAAAGATTGATTCCTGTTAGACAAGTGCTTACATATGTTATTAATGCACCACGCGAACACTGGGCACAGTTCTCGCGATCTTGTGAAGGTGAAGATGAGCAGGATATCAAGCACGATGGCTAATGGAATCGGGAGGTCGAGAAGTATTGTTAGTACGTCCAGAAATTCCATTTTCTCAAGGCTGGCGCTGAAAGGGGGCAAATAAGGTATTACGGTAAGCAAAGGATCAAAGTTTCTTTTGAATAAAATAGATTTAAATATGGTTTTTTTTTTGTAAAACATCTATATATATATTATTTTCCCATCGATTAATAGCATTTTCAATATCTCGAAAACATAAAAATTTTGAGCTGCTGTTTTTAATAGGTAGGATTTTATGTATTTTCCATGCAAAGCTGAAGCAAAGCCTAAGCAAAGCCTAAGCAAAGCCTAAGCAAAGCCTAAGCAAAGCCTAAACCTAAGCCTAAACCAAGCCAAGACCCCCGTTATCCTATTTGTCCTGATGTGAAGAATACCCACAACCCAGTTCCGAAGCTACAGTATCCCGGGTCCAGGCACGACCCGAAACCCTTATAAAGGCCATACCATAACCCGGTAGCCCCCACAAAAACAGCCTCTAAGGCCCGAGGAAAGAAAATTGTATATTGGACCCAGTGGGGCCAAACGTGGGCGCAAGAAAACACCAAAATCGGCCGCCCCCGGGGCTGGTGGATACAATTTTTTGGCAGGTATTTGCCTGCCTGGCTCGGCTTCTGCCTGGACCCAGACATTTAAAACGTCAGAAATATTCGGCTTTATTTTGAGAATACAGGGTACGCAGAGAAGATCCTTCCGCAGTTTCGCCGATTTAAACCCAAACCGTCCAAATTTGGACCGGAAGTGTATCAGGCCCTAAATAACAATAATCCCGACTTATAACCGCACAGGTACGGTAGTTTTCAGGTTATTACAAAAATCAGATTTAGTTTCGCTTTTTCATAGGGTTCTCGTGAGATACACCCCCTAAATATCAAGTGGAAATGATTTGGCAAGTCTTTTTCCGTCAGGAATTTTTCCCAGCTAAAATTATTAAGAAACGTCGATTTAAACAATTTTTACAACGCAAAATTGCCCAAGAGATTATGCAAAATTAGGAATTCGTGGTCGGAAGTCGATACAAATCCATGCAATTTCCAAAATGAGTCGAAAAACGCAAGAAAATTGCACAAAAACAGTATTTTCGTTATAGATCGAGAACTACTGTAGCTATGAGGCTATAAGTCAGGATTGTTGTTATTCAGGGTTTGATACAGTTCTGGTCGAATTTTGAGACCAATCGGATGTAAGGCGCCGAAATGCCAGATCGGTCTTTTGCTGGGCCACCCTGTACCGTATCCATCTCAAAGATGAAAACACGAAACCCGGATCTTCCGAAAACACCTCATTATCCATACTCACTATCAGCCAAATACACTCAGACACAATTTTGTAATTTTAATACGTTTTAACACCCCTAAAAACTAACCTCGTTCGGCACGTGCCAACAGCATCGTCACAGTTTCTTTCCATGGTGAATGGGAGGGAATGGAGGAAGAATGGCCCGGATAGACACGACAAATCCCAAAAGACCCCAACAAAATGCTGTTAAAAAGGACGGATACAAGCAAAAAGGCCACAGGGCAATGGCCCAGGAAATGAAGGTTTTGTAGCTGTTTCGTCCGACATCCCAAGTCATCAATGAATTTGCTCGGATTAAACAATTAAATTTTAGGTGATTTTGGCACGTCTTTGGGGCTGTGTTTTGACGGCGACTTAAGAAAAATACATTTATTTACAACCTAAAACGGTGCTGAGATCACGATTTCCATTTTTGTTCGCTGATGAAATCGTAGCTGTATTTGTTCATGGTGTTTGTCCAAAAGCGATAGTTGGAACCGAACCAATCTAGAATTACAATTAATTAGGGTTAGAATTTTAGGTACTGGTTTGTTAGCGGGGGGGGCGGGTTTAGCTGGGAAAATAATTTTTCGCAGTAGTCATCTACGAGCATATAAAAAATTTAAAACATTTTTATGGCACCCCCGCTAACAGCCTAGTACCAAATTTTTCTTACCCTTTTTCATTTCGCTTTTCGGCGAGATACTCATATAATCAAAATTTTCGATGGTAAATGGGTCCCACTTCAGCCGGTCAATGTTTGGATCGCTGAATCAAACATAAAAGTCAGATTCGAAGATGCGGAATCTTACCGAGTCTTGACAAACTGCACAAACAAATCTTGGATAGCATCTTTCACTACGAGGTCTTCAGCGGTGTAATTAAAGTTTAGATGCATTTCTAGCGTCCATGGGTATTCGCCGGCGTGGGTTGAGCCTAAATATCAGGTTTAAATTGTTTTATAAATTAATAATAGCATAAATTAATTAATAAATGTAAAATTTATTATCCCACCTTGAACGGGCTGATCCTTTGGCCATTGTGCCGGGTTTGAGTGATCAAATGTAAAAGCCCAAACGGGACTGCCACTTTTTGTTCGAGCCACGGCCTCACGTACGATTGGAATATTCATCATAAAATCCGAATAGCTCTGTAATTCATATGATTTAATGAATAATCTTTCTAACTCTTTCTCTCTCTCTCTCTCTCTCTCTCTCCCTTCCATCTCTCTCTCTCTCTCCCTCTCTCTCGCTTTCTCTCTCTCTCTCTCTCTTTTTCTCTCTCTCTCTCTCTCTCTCTCTCTCTCGTTATCTCTCGTTCTATCTCTCTTTCTGTAGCTCTCTCGTTGTACCTCTCTCGCTTTCTCTCGTTCTCTCGCAGTCTCTCTCTCGCTTTTTCTCTTTCTCTCTCTCTCTCTCTCTCTCTCTCTCTCTCTATCTCCCTCTCAAACCTACCAGCACATACTGCTCAATCCAGAAAAAGTGATCCGTATCATTATCGTTATCCATCGAAAGAAATTTATAGATATCCTCGCCGGCCGCATCTTTTTCATGCTCCAAATACCCCTAAAGAAAATCTCCATTTTTCCTATCTTAAAAATCTTACCCCGCTAGTAATCCAGTCCTTGATATACGCTTTCAAATATTTCGAGTTTGCCATTTTATAAAAACTTGGCGCCATGGAATAAGGGAATTCACCTTGTAAGGCTAGAACATCAACTTATAGTAAATGTAATCGAAGTACTTACTGAAAGCTCGGCCTTCCTTTTGGTTGACTCCCATTAGTGTGGGAACTTTTGGGGCTGTTTCGATAGCCGTTTCGACCTTAATTTAATTATTTCCTTCCGCGTTTTTAAATGCAAACTTACGTCAAGCGGCAAAAAATCTCCATCGGGTATTGGTGCAAACCCCAAATAATCCAGATCAGAAAAGCCGCAAATCTAAATTAAATTCAGTTTTAATTAAAAATTTTCAACTTACATCACCCCATCCCGCTTTCACATTCAAAAACTCGTGCTCACTCTTGGATTGTAGACATCTACAAGAAATTTCGCAGAATTGATTCTGACAAACTCTTTATAATCCCTAGCATCACCGCATCCAAGCGCCTTGATGTATTCCTCCGTGAATTTCACCACATTTTTGCCCTTTGCAAAACCACATAGCATTGAGCCGCTCATTTCGATGGCGGCCGAAAAGAGATCTGGAATTGGTGTTTCGGTAAAGGGTTCTTAACGGGGGGGGGGATAGAACGGGGGTGGAAACAGCTTCTCATCTTCTAATTTCCGAGTCACCATCAGATGAGCCTCAAAAATTATACTAAGTTATTTAGCCGCAGCTCGAAATTTCATCTAAAAATTTATTTTATTTTTATTTAATTCTTTTGCTTAAAAATAATAATCTAAAACAAGGGTATTTCGGGCTGAAATTAAATCTCTGTAAATTTTAATGCTCTTGCCGATGGCATGCTTGATTGTTAAAAAAAACAGTATCCCCCCCCCCCGTTAAGCAACTTTTACCGGTATTTATTAGCATATCTGTCTAACCCTTACTTTTCGAATGCTCAGATATTGTTTGATAAGATACAGAAACTGATCCAGCGGATTCCCCAAAAATTGTCACGCGCTTCGGATCTCCTGAAAATATAAAAATAGTCCTTTTAAAAGGAGCTGCACCTCCAAATCGATCAATATTTTCGTTCACCCATTTCAGGGCGCGATTCTGGTCCCATAGGCCGAGATTGGGGCTGATTCTCGAATCATTTTTGGTTAGGAACCCGAAGGGTCCAAGTCGATATTGGATAGTTACCATTACAATACCTCTTCTGGCATATACCTATTAAAGAACAATAAATAAGGAATTCTTAAACAAATAAGAACCTCCATTAATGGTTTGCCAGGATGCCGAGCAGCACTACCCTGAAGGAAACCACCTCCATGGATGAAGATGAGTACGGGAAGGTTGCCCTGAAGAAAATATCACATGTATGAATTCTATAAACCACGAAATCATAAATATGAAAATTTTCTTTTAAAATATATAGAAGGATTTTTTTATATTTTATTTAAATCTACCTTTAGATCGCTTGTCCATACATTTAAATACAGGCAATCTTCACCAAAATCAGAGCCGTCGCTAAAAAGGGGAGTATTTTTAGCCAGAAAAAAGGATTACATGTATCTGGAAATTGAAAGGGGTGTACAAGGCAATCCGAATCTCGATTTTCTCTCTCTCTCTCTGTCTCTCTGTCTCTCTCTCTCTTTGACTGTTTTATCTCTCTCTCCCTGTCTCTCGCTCATAGAAAAATAGCTCTACGGTCAATTCCACCTACTCTTTGCAAGGAGTACAACCTTTCGCAAAAACAGTGGTATTCAATGGCTTCGTCCACGGGACAGGAGGTTGAGGCTTCTAAAAGAATCTTTGCAGGGGGACAAGGAAATTCAAACCGCAAGTTATAACGAATTTTAAGAGCTAAATATCGATCGATATCAGGGTAATAATCTGCAATTAAGCCATTTCGAGTTTAAATTCGCTAGATCAGCATAACTTTTAAGTCTTAGGGTAGTTCCATACCAATGATATGGCCTATATATTATGTCAGTCATAGTCCTGATACATCTAAGAAAAAATCCGGTGCCGCTGACATATAAATTCAAAAAGCAAAAAAGACGCCGGGCGGGGTCGGACCCCAGCCGATTTCATGGTAGAGGGCTTAAAGGAGCGAGGAAGACAACGTTACGCGCGGAAAGAAATGTCTCTGCGCCTCTTCCCTGGTCTCCTCCCCCTCTGGCCATTGCCAATTTTTGTAGGGACACATGCCGTCGGCAGCCCTTTAATGAAGAAAAAGACCAAATCTTTCATGAGGTTGTGCAATAACGCCAAATCGATTATACGCGAGGGAAATATCCAAAATAACACCCAATTCACCCCCCCCCCCAAAAAAGGTATTTTTGGACTTCGTAAAAAAATCCCGGGACGGCCGAAAAACGCCGATTTTTCTCGACCCGGCCCGCCGTTTATCCAGGCCTGTATGGAGATATCGGGCTAACCGGAAGTCTTGCCGTTTTTCCTTTCGGGCATTGTTTTGAAAGCCCTGTTGATCTAGGAGCTTGATGTAATATAGGATTTTGAAGTACTCTTAATGCTCTACACAGTGGCGAAGCTGACCTTTTCTGCTTGAAAATCGGGACTAAAATTAACCGATTTTCTGTCTTCGTTAAAATGTCCGCGATGAGCGGCTTGCAAACTTTTTGAGACCCTTAATAGTCCCATAGTTACGTCAGAAAAGATAAAATGCATACGGCAAGACACGTTAGATTGAATAACCTGTAAAGACAATTTCCAGTCGAATACGCTTACATTGCAATGACGATTCTGGCGAACGATAATGCGAAATCGCTATGATATTTGGTACTTTTGAGATCTTATAGTTATAAATCTTTAATATATAATTTGCTAAAACGCTCTAATTTTACAAAACGCTCGAGCGCTCGATGTTTACAAGTTGCCGTCTCGGCCATTAGTGCCTAGTCCGCGCGGACAGATGTCCTATAGGTGGTATATTGCATGCAGGTCTGCGGCTTGAACATCTGCCGGCTCGGGCTAACAAGAGGCGCAGTGAAAGTTTGGCGTTGATGCCTCCGCTCGCTTGGTGTAATTGTATCCATGCGTAAAGTGCCGCAACCTTAAGTAAAGTATGTAAAAATCTGCTGTTTGTTCACCCCTTTCGGGGTGTGCGCCGTTCCCAGCGGCAAGTGCAATGCTGGGCCGACGCTGTCCGGCGAGAAGCAAGCTTCTGCAAACCGAACCGATTCCAAAAATTGGTTAATCTCGTTGTACACAATAGTGTACGTATCGGAGATTAAGCCGATAAGAACGTAAACTACACATTGATCTTAGCCAAAGGCCAGAAGCGATACGAATGTCATCAGTTGGCGTCTCATATGCGGTTGGGGTGGGCCAGACGGGGGTCCAGTCGCACGGGGGCGAGAGAGCACACAGGGAGCGCACAGGGATGGGGTCAGGAGGGGGTCCCCCGGCCCTTTTGGGTCACAGGGGTTGTCCTTCCAATTGGAGTTTACGAATCAACTTTATAAAATTAGTACAGATTCATTTAATATAGATTATAGCTATGGTTTACGTCTCGGAGAGGGTTCAACTGGTTTGGGCCAGGATTTTGACCCGGCTCCCCGGGAAACCATCTGCTCGCTCCGCAGGTGTGCCCCGGGTAGTCAATGATAACAATTTCGTGCCATTAATAGAAGGGTTTACAGCAATGCTGTTTCAGTCTATTTTCCGGGGTTGACTTCAAAGTCGTATATTACATCAAGCTCCTAGATCAACATGACTCTTTGAAAAAAATTCAAAATTCTTTCAAAAAAATGCCCGAAAGGACTTTCCGGATAGCCTGATATTTTTAGAGCTATTTTAAAATCTTAATTAATAATGCGTAAAAATATACTACGCTAATTAATTTGAAAAACCGAAAACCGTAATTTAAAAGTTTTATTGCCCAAAAACGCGGCTTGAAAACTGTAGGAGCATCCCACTAGCATACCCTCTTTAATTTGCGGACCTAAAACTCACTTCAAAACGCAATCTCCCAATCGGAGGCTGCGCAAATGGAATGCCAAGAAATTGATAGATCATGGTCCCATCCTTCGTGTATTCTTTCGATCCTTGAACTGGCCCTTGTCGTGTGATTACGGTAGGACAGTCAGCCCATAATAATGGGGCCAATATGGACAGTAGCAATGAGAATGCCAATTGGGGAATCATCTGTAAGAATTGGAATGTAATGATTGAAATTATTGTGGAAAGCAGAAAATTGCATCAAAAAGGGAGCATTGTGGGTGGCAACTTCCGGCGGGAATCACCAGTGGGGATGAGCTGTTTGTTATGGAAGTGTTTTTGGAGCTTGCCCACCCCCAGAGCCAGACGTAAAGTCTGCGATAAGGGCACAACCTCGATGCCTCACGCTAATAATAAATTGTTTAGAAAGATAATTGTGATGTGTAATCTATGCTTTTTTGAGCCAAAACATTAAAGGTTTTCCGGGCGGAGGGGTTGACCCAGGGTTGTGTGTTTCGGAAGAAAGTTACTTTTTGGACATTGGCTAGAACGAAAAAAGTTCAAATTTACTTATTATTACTATTGGGAACTGAGAGTTATGAAGTTATTTTTGAATTCAAAATAAATAGTTCTACCAGTTTTAGGTACTTTTTCCGATCCACAGACCTTTAAATGCCCCAACTTCCTTGCAAAACCAACAATTAAGCGGACCTACAATCTGTCTTCCCCCTCTCTCTCTCTCTCCCTCTCTTTCTCTCTTTCTTTCTCGCTGTCTCTCTCTCTCGCTCTTTCACCCTAACTCTTTCGTTCTATCGGTTTCTCACTAGCTCCCGTTCTCTCTCTCTCTCTCTCTCTCTCTCTCTCTCTCTCTCTCTCTCTCTCTCTCTCTCTCTTTCTCTCTCTCTTTCGTTCTATCGGTTTCTCACTAGCTCCCGTTCTCTCTCTCTCTCTCTCTCTCTCTCTCTCTCTCTCTCTCTCTCTCTTTCGTTCTATCGGTTTCTCACTAGCTCCCGTTCTCTCTCGTTCTCTCTCTCTCTCTCTCTCTCTCTCTCTCTCTCTTCTTTCTTTCTTTCTCGCTGTCTCTCTCTCTCTCTCGCTCTTTCACCCTATCTATTTCGTTCTATCGGCTTCTAACTAGCTCCCGTTCTCTCTCTCATTCTCTCGCTCTCTCTCTCTCTCTCGCTCTTTCGATCTCTGTCTTTAGCTGTCTCGCCCTCTCTCTCGCTAACGCTATCTCGCACACGTTCTCTTTATCTATCTCTCACGCTCTTTCTTGTTATATCTCGCTATCTCTCCATCTTTTCTTCTTGCTCTCTCTTTCTCCCTCTCAACTTTCCCTAGCGCCAAATTAGCTATGGGGTAACCCTTGGCTGTAGTTTATAGCGCGGCCCCCGAACAGCTGTGGCATATTTTTGTTTACGCCATGGCACACTCGAACACCCCAGGGTTAGGCCGCCTATCGAAATACACCAAGAAAAAAGTTTGCTTCAAGTTTGGATCTAAAATAATTTTTTTATGGGAGCTGGCTCGTTTTTTCTGTCGATCGGATTGTTGAGTGGTGTTATCATAAAGGTAAGTTTTGCGTGAATTGTGAAAATTCTTGCATTACCATTCAAGCAAAGTCAGCGTTTCGCAATGGCATGGAGGAGCAGCGGAAATACAAATGCTGAATTGGTTGGGAATTTGGAGCGTGAGTTTTTGTTGCTTAATTTGTTGAGACATGCTTCGTATAATCATAATAAAGCCATTTTCAGAAGCCGGATTGATCCATTCTCCTCGCGTGAAAGCCGCCATGCTGGCCGTGGATCGGGCGGATTTTACGGATCATCTACCGTATCAGGATTCACCACAAGGCATTGGATATAATGCAACTATTTCGGCTCCGCATATGGTTCGTAAAGTTTGATAATTTCTGCGGTAGAAAGAGGAGCAGAATTTTGTTTATATATGCTAAATCCGAAGTCGTTTGGACTATTTTTATTTAAGTTTATCTCAAACTTTTGTTTAAACGAAAGCTTCTTAAACTGCAAATTTGTTTCAGCCACATAAAAATAGTTAAATTCCGCTATAGTAATTTGTTGTTTTTGATTAGTCAGGTAAATAAATAATAACCAAAATTTTTAGCATGCTCATGCTCTACAAAATATGGAGGCGCACCTGGTTGACGGAGCAAATGTGCTGGACGTTGGTTCCGGAAGTGGCTATTTAACCGTATGCATGGCTAAAATGGTAAAAATCGATAAATCGACTAATTTGTCATAGTATTTAGGTTACTCCCCGTGGTAAAGTCGTCGGAATCGAGCATATTGACGAGTTGGTCAACAAAAGCTTGCAGAATATTAAGAAGCACCATAGGTATAGCTTAATTTTCTGTATTTGATTTTTTATGTACTTTCTAGTGATCTTATTAAAAGTGGACACCTGGAGGTGATCGCCGGTGATGGTCGACTCGGGCATCCATTACCAAATGGTCCACTTTATAACGCAATTCATGTTGGGGCAGCTGCAGAGTCAATTCCGCAACCGGTAGATAGTGGTATTACGTAGTACAATTGGTTTTATAGACTTAAAATCATTTAAAAATTTGTTTTGTAGTTAATTGACCAACTCGCACCTGGTGGCCGTATGCTAATTCCGGTCGGAAAACAGCATAGCGGACAGGTATTATAAAAGCCTTAAACCTTAAAAAACTAAATTCAGATCTTTGTTCAACTGGATAAAGCCATGGATGGCCGCGTAAGCCAAAAGACGATCGAGCACGTCTTGTACGTGCCGCTGACGAGTAAGCGCGAGCAGCTCCACGGCAGCTGACTACTACCGTGCCGCTGCTGCTCTATTTCATAGGATATTGTTACTGTCGGTTATTTACTATAAAGAAAGATAAACGGACGTCGAAATCGGAAATCTAACGAAATTTTGGAAAATTGAATTTTCGGGGTTTTGAATTTTCAAAAACTAAAATTTCGGCATCATGAACGTCCAATTATGATGATTTTGACATTCTGATACCAAATCCCCAAGCCTACGAGATAAAAACAAATTTTCGCATCATTTCTCCCTTTTCAGACCGTACCCAACAACTTGGAGTTGGTGCCAAAACCACTGGTGCTCACGTCGTCTATTAACAATTTTTACAAACTGTCAAATAACCCGCTCTAATGTATATAATGTACAAAAGTAAATAAATAAATAAATATGCCATTTTGAGCGGAAGCTGCAGATGCAAGGAGGGGGAAAGTGCATGAAAAGGGCAGCATTGCAAAATACAGCGCTCCGGCCCCATGCCAAAATATGTTGGCCGCGGGGTAAACAACCCTGCATGTGGGCTTTAGAAATCGAATTTTTGGCTCGAGTTTTGTATTTATTTTTGTTTTAAATGTTTTCTATATGTTTTCTATATAGAATTTTTTTATAATATATTTTATAAAGATCTGAAAAATCGAAAAAATGGATTTCAATGGTGGCGGTTCAACAAATGACGAATTGGTTGCACATCTGAAAGGTAAGGATTTCGCGCATAATAGCAGGAGGGAACTAATCTTGCTTTTCCGTATTTTTAAAATGTTTTTAGTAGTTCATGATTGCTAGAAAATTACAAAACTATTGTAAAAATTTTTGAAAATTCGATAATTTTAACCTATTTGGTCATTTTTCATCATTTTTTACCAAAAATTCAAAATTTTGTATGAATTTTTATATCTAAAATTTGTGTAAAATGCCATAGACATTGTTTTTTACTGTTGTTATAGAAATATTTTGTTCTAGGGCCGCATAGGTTTACCGGGATAAATTAGTTTCCACTGCTAACCCCCCCCCCGCTAATAGCCCAGTACCTTTTTATTTATATTCAGACACCGGCGCATACCAAAATGATCGTGTCGGCTACGCGTTGCTGCAAGTTGACCGTGCCGATTTCGTAGACAACAACCCATACGAAGACGCCCCACAGTCGATTGGCTTTAATGCCACCATTTCCGCTCCCCATATGGTAAATTTGATATAATTTCAAGTTATAATATATATATTAAAACCTTAACCCTAATTTTTTTTGTCTAGCACGCTGCAGCCATAGAGGCCCTTGAAGACCATCTTTACAACGGAGCAAAAGTGCTGGATGTAGGTTCAGGCAGCGGGTATCTGACCGCAGTTTTTGCCGAAATGGTGTGTGTTTTTTGAAGATTGATGCAACTTTATTATACAGGTATCCCCGAATGGGAAAGCTGTTGGAATCGAGCACATTGAGGAGCTTGTCGAGAAGAGTCGCGAAAATGTGATGAAAAATCATAAGTGAGTTTTTAGGGTTTTTAAATATTTTCTAAGTTGCCCGAAGAATCACCAAAATCGAGGAATGCAGCGCTTTACTAGGTATTACGACATATAATTCACGCGGGCCCAAAAGATCGATTTACACTTCGTTTTAAATAGTTCGATTTTTTTGCACAACGATACATTTTTTCCGTATTCCTTCGCAGTATACCTTTCGTTTTTCAGAAGTAGTTTCGAGATCGGTTCGATTTTGAGTTCTCAGCCCCCGCCCCTTTAAAAAGAATAGTTTGATGAAGTGTAGATATAATATTGTTACGTAAGCCATTTCCAGAGAGCTATTCGAGATTGGAGCTCTAACACTACTCGTTGGTGACGGCCGCCTTGGCCATCCCATCAACGGTGGCTACAATGCGATCCATGTTGGAGCGGCTTCCGAGGGGATACCACAACCGGTTGGTCGACATTTTAATTTAGTACTAAATTATATTTTAGCTACTCGACCAACTAGCTCCCGGTGGACGTATGGTAATCCCTGTCGGCCGCGAGTTAGATTCACAGGTATTTTGGACATTGAATGGCCCAATTTTTGAAGGTCTTCCTACAAGTCGACAAATCTGAAGATGGCCGGAATATAACGCAAAAGGTTATTGAGGATGTGATGTATGTTCCGTTAACAAGTAAGTGCGATTTTCTTCAGGGGTTGATTTTATTTTAGATGCGGATCAACAGCTTCGTCAAGGGCGCGAAGTGGATGCTATTTAAGACTAAAAACTTATCTACAACAACATTTCAATAAAGATCTCTGTAATTGTTTAATTTAAATTCGTCTAAAATCATTTTGTAGATATTTATTTTGTCGAAATAACAATTTGTCGAAAGGTAAATGCTTTTTTCGTCTCGATTATTCATCTCAAAAATCTCGCAAAATGCAAATTTAGCGCATTCAAATTGCGACAAAATTAAATTTCTACAAAATGAAATTTCGACAAAATTACAGAAATCCAACCTCCAAGGTTTCAAGCTTCAACCCCGAGCGGTCAGTTCCTCCCTGTTCCTCCCCACAAAAAAAGGCGGAACCGCGGGTATCCATTTTTTGGAGTGGAGAGTCAGCTGTCGAGTTATCGTCTCGAGACCCTGCCCCCTTCTTCGATGGGTAATTAAAAGGGTCGTGTATTGTTCGAGAGTGAAGAGGGGCCCACCTTGTGACCCAATGCAAGGGGAGGGGCCCAGGGTTCTACCATTACTTATCACATCACCTGTTGATGCACAAGGGGTTGGCTGCTCTCCAATCGAATATTTTGCTTTATTCTTCTGTTTCTTTATTAGATTTGTTTTGGTTTAAAGGGACTGGCAAGGCCTGGCCATGGATTTTTTTGAAATTTTACTGTGGTAGCGAGACGCGACACATGCTTTTTCCGGACGCGTTGCGTATGCGTTGCGTGTCGCGGGGAAAGCCTCAGATTTTCCATTACCTGAGATATCTATAGCGATTCCTTGCCCGCCCCTTCAATTGCATTTTTTATTTGATATCTAATCCTAAATTTTTCAGACTACAGACTATGGCATTTTTTGAAACGCCTCCACTTTCGCCACTATCTCCCGTCGAATCGACGATATCAAAACAGTGGGATGGCGAGGTGAGATTTTTAAACTATCAATGCTTCGATTCTTCCAATTCCTTCCCAAGTACTAGGCTATTAGCGGGGGGTATAGCAGGGGAAGGCTAATTTTTGTTTTTCCCTCTATAGCCTCCTGTTAATAATAAATATTGTATTTTTATATCGTTTTTAGTGGTTTTTGGTTGCTAAAAATTTACACAAAACCAATTTTCGAAAATTTTTATTCGTTGTTTATAGCCTTTCTATTTCTAAACATTGTGTAAAATGCTACAAAATGGTTTTTATTTTGCCATCAGACCGTGCATGACTACTGTGAAAAGTTATTCCCCCGCTAACGGTGCAGTACCCCGTTTCGAACTCTTGAAATTTTTTTAAAGGGGCCAGGAAGCCAAAATTCAAATCTTCTAGGACAGGACCTGGTGCTCAAAAAACCATTGAATAATTACTGTAATGAATACTAAAATCCCTTTAACCTTTAAATGCTTACATAAAAGTTTTGTGTTAGTGTTGTACGTCCCCCCGGGATATAGGCCAAGAAAGAAGCTCTAGTAATTGGCCCCAGGGGTCGACAAAATGTGGCGGTGCCATATGTGTGTGTTTGTGCTTGTCTTGCTCTTTTTGCACCCCCCACATCCTCCTGGACGCCGCCATTTATCTTCAACGCGCTGCAAATGGCGAATAGGCTTGCTTGCGGCTTGCCAGATTTCAGGGCGTTCAGGTCCGGAATTTTTTTGTTTATGATCTGGCAGATTTGTTGTTGAAATGGGTTTTATGGGGTTCAAAAGTATTTTTTTTATTCGCTGGCAGATCTGTCTGGGGGGGGCTGGCGATTGTTTTTGGAGCATCACCTATGGGGGGGATGACGGGTGAATGAAAACATGGAACAGCTGGCTCACCGCTTGCTTCGCTTTTGCCAAATGGTGTTCGATTCAGAGGAAAATGGAGGGGTAGAAACTCAAGAAAACTTTCTAAACCTAAAAATCTAAAAAATACGGGACAAGATTCCATACCTTTCCAACCCCTTTAAAGGAACCAGCACGGCAAGAATATGTATTCTATGGTCAAGAGCCCTTTATAAATTTTGCGGACGCTAAACAACCCAATCCCGCGATTTTCAGTAGATATACAGGGTGTAATCGATCACGAAATACGGTACTGGACGGTTGGCGGGGGGAGCTAATTTTCGTTTTTTTTTTGTCTTTTCCTAACTGTTAATAATAATAATCCGTTTTATAACTTTTTCGTATCAGTTAAAAAACAGATTTTAAACATTTTTTAAATTCGAATTACCTTTTTGGTGACGTTTCATACTTTTTTGACCAAAAGATCAGAAACTTGCGAAAATTTCTATCACTTTTTCCGAACTTTTTATAGACAAAAACTGTGGAAAATGCTATAAAATGGGTTTTATTTTATTATAGGACCGTAGAGGTTCCTGGGAAAATTCGTTTCCCCCCTGCTAACAGTCCTGTACGGAAATAAAACGAAAAATACGATTTTTTTCGTGTTTGTGCCAAAGTTATATAAAATCCATGCCATCCATCCCGATCCCTTTAAAATAAAAGAAAGTGATACCCGAAGGCGCGCCAGATCCCCCAACCCCCAAAATGGGTCGTAGAGGAATAATTTAGGAGGCCATCGTGCCGCCAAGACCCCTTCTGCCCTGGCCGCCCAGTCATTCTTCCGCTTTTTCAGTGTATCTCACTGTGTTTTGTTTGTTTTAAAGGAAGCACCGGGGGAATGGGATGGGGCACGGGAAGCGCGCATCAAGCATATAGGTTCCCGGATGGGTGGATAGAGATGGATTGAGATTTTAGGGGAGGGAGAGGAAGGAAGAGCGGAAGAAAGAAAGAATCAAAAAAATATCCTCAGCACCGGTTGGTCCCTGAATCCTCCGCCCCCTCCACTCACATCGGGGGGCTAATGGCCACAGCTGATTCCGCTCAACCGCCGGCGACACACTCTGAAATATTTTGGTTTCAGATCGCTAGAGCGTAGATTATTATTGATTCTATGAAATAATTATATTCCTTTTATTCTATTATTCTATCCGGCTGTTATTCGGCAAATTCAGAGAAACTAGCAAAAATCGGTACTGGACCGTTAGCATCGGGAATTTTTAGAAGGGGGAAACTAATTTTTCCTTCTACGCCTAATTTAAACCTGTTAATAATAAATACTGTATTGCTATAATATTTTTGGAAATTTTTATTGCTAGAAAGTCACAAAAATATTTTATTTTGGGATTTTGAAAATTTTTTCACCTAAAAACTGTTTAAAACCTATAAAAACGGCTTAGATTTTGTTATGCGACATACAGCATTACTGGGAAAAATTAGTTCTCCCCCTGCTAACACCCCTTCCCCCGCTAAAAGTCTAGTACCAAAAAAACTTCAGGAAGAAAATTATGATGCGAAGACAGCGATAAGCGAAGAAGCCTACACAACGCATATTCCGGACTTACATCTAAACTCCGATTCTAAGCTCTAAATCTAGAAATAAAGAGAAAATCTAGAGAAAAGACAAACTCCAAAAAACCCAAAAATACTGACCATTCCCCCCGGTCAAACAAGCTGCTGCCCAGAGCCTGCCCGCTCGTATTTCGAGTGGCGCCTTCACTTGACAATTTGATCTGTTTGGCTTTCCGCGCAGCAACTAGCCGATTTGTTGGCCTGCTGCTTCCAAGTCGATATTTCCGGTAGACGAGCGGCATTTGATAATATCTGAATATTGCCACATATTGCTACACAATTGCATTGCTATAAAATGCTACAACCCGTCGCGCCCTCCCGGTTACCGGCCGATTGCTTATGTGTTTGTTTTGATGTTTATTTATTGTCCCAGTTAAAAATTCAAGAAAGAGTATATTCTTGAAAAATTACCATCCTGGTTTAGATTGCTAAACCTATTAAAAACATTAAAAATTAAAAATTTAGATTCGCCGGCTTGGCGACGACGAAATGGAGGCACCATTTTTGGATCGGCTACCAGAGACGAATCATTTGATCGTTGGTAAGAGCAGATTTTTTTCTTGTTCATTAGCGGGAGGGAGATATTATCATTCATTCTGCCTAACCTCTATAATAATAAAAGACAGGCTTTTTTTCCATGCTTTAGCAATTTGAGTTTACCAAAAAATCATAAAAAAAGCCTTTTTCACCAAAAAAGGCTGGCTATTTGGCCTATACTTTACACATTTTTGACCAAGGAAGCCAAAATCGTTGAAAACCTTTATACTTTTTCATATCTTTTGTAGCTTAACGTAATTTCTGGGATATTTTTAGGCAGCCATGATAAATACGCAGTGGGAAAGAAGATAGCCCAAGGCCGATTTGGAGCTGTATATGAGGTAATCAACGTTTTGCAATTCCCAAAAAATGCTACCCGTCTAGGTTTTGCGACAATGTGATGGGAAGCCATTTGCTGTAAAGTTAGAAGTGTGCGACACGCACTCACATGGTCTCGATATGGACTTTGTCGTATTGTCCAGAGCCGCAAAGGTGAATTAGCTTTGACTTTTGATTCTCATTACCCAAAAATTCGGTAATTTACTGTTAGCAGGGGTGAATAATTCATCCTATGCGGATCCATAACAAAATATAAGCTATTTTTACAGCGTTTCATACAGTTATTAGATTACATAAACATTCTAAAAGTAAAAATTTTTGTGCTCAAGGATTTATGAAAATTAACAAAAAGGACCAAAGCCCAAAATTTCGAATTTTCAAAAATGTTCTAAATACGTTGTGTAACTTTCTATCAATCAAAAACTACGAAAAACATTAAAGAAATGCACTATTTATCATTATCGGGCATAGACGGAACACTAAAACCAGACCCCCCCCCCCGCTAACGATCCCGTACCAAGAATCTTAGGCAGACCTTCCAAATGTGGCGCACATGATCGACCGCGGAAGGATCGCTAATCATTTTAAATTCATCGTCATGCACCTGGTAATTTTGCTATCAATTTTCAACCGGTTTTGATTCAAATAGCTCGAATTAAGAAAGCCATTCCCTTAAGATGGGCCAAAATCTATGCCAACTGCGCTATCTATTCGTTGGTGATCGTTTCTCACTATCCACGGCCCTCCGATTGTCCCTAAAATGTCTGGACGCTATCAAGCAGCTGCATAACCTTGGATTTATCCATCGTGATATTAAGGTATAGAAATTTTTAATAGGTCCTAAATTAACTTTTTCATAGGCGTCAAACTTTTGTCTGGTGCCTGGGTGTTCAGCGAAAGATTTGGGCGTTTATTTGGTGGATTTCGGTTTGTGCCGATCGTATCGAAATTCTGAAGGCCAAATCCGCCCGCCGAGGGCCAGCGTCTCTTTTAAGTTTGTAGAATTGAAGTTTTAAAGCCCAGTTTTCTAGGGGAACTACAAAATACGCGCCGCTGGCTGCGCATTATGAGAAGGAGCAATCACTGAAAGACGATATGGAGAGCTGGTTTTATATGACAGTCGAGATGATTACCGGTACATCTAAAATTGTTTTGATATTTAAATTCTAAAGCTCGAGTTCAAAGCAAATTATCAACTATAATAAAAAAGTAAAGACGTCTGTCTGTGTGTGTGTGTGTCTGAAGCCGAATTCAACTCGAAGGGGAAAGGAGCTAGAGCTTAGGTCTCTTCGGATTCGGATAGAGCGTGGTCAGAAACCCCCAAACTGATAAAAAAATTATGAAAAAGTTTTAGTTTAAATTATTAAAATTAACTTTGAAGGTTTTTTCCTTAGTAAAAGGGGTGGGGGACGGAGGTTGGGATGATTTTGGACATAGTGAGCCAGGTGGCGCGCGTTTCGTGGATGAAAATTTTCACGGGGGATTTCATTTCTTTTTTTTTCTCATTCCATCCGGTCGGTCGTTATTTTTGTTTTTTTAAGGGATTTCGGCTAGGGGAGGTATCCTAAACCATCGGGAAAGTATTTAGGTGGTTTTTGAAAGGGATTTCGGCTATGGGGGGTATCTGAAGCCATCAGGAAGGTATTTAGGTAGTTTTTGAAGGGGATTTCAGCCATGGGGGGTATCTGAAGCCATCAGGAAGGTATTTAGGTAGTTTTTGAAGGGGATTTCGGCTTGGGGAAGTATCTAAAGCCATCAGGAAGGTATTGTAGTTTTTTTATGGAGATTTCGGTTATGGGGGTATCTGAAGCCATCAGGAAGGTCAGAAAGGTTTAGGTAGCTAAGTTTTTGCAGGGGCTTGGCCATAGTAGGTATCTGAAGCGACCAGCGTGGGTATTGATGAAGGTCGAGGTGTAATGTGGCGGTGTAGAACCTGGAGGGTAGCCCGAAGGCCAGTCGATTACAGTCGCGAAGCGGCTGTAATCGGCTGGTACATTCATAATTTTGGTTGTAGGTAATCTGCCATGGTCCGGGCTACATCGAAAACAAAAGGACGAAGCCAGAGTAATGAAGGAGGCGGCTCGAACCCCGGAAGGCACTTCAGAACTATTGAAATCAACACCAAAAGTGCTATTTTACTTGGAATCTCTTACGCACAGTTTTCAGGAAGAATTCAAGCGAATTCTAAAGTACATCGATTGCCTTTCCTACCAGAGCCATCCCGACTATGTATATTTAAATCAGGTGCGGTGAATTAAGGGCACTGGGATGCTAGCAGGGTAGACTAATCGTTGTTTTCCGTCTATGCCTAGTTGTTAATAAGAGATAGCGAATGTTTATAGAGTTATTCGTAGTTTTTGATTGCTACAAAGTTACAAAAAAATATTTTTTTCATATCTAAAAATTGTGACCGTACAGGTTTACTAGGAAACCTAGTCCCCCTGCTAACATTCTAGTGTTAAATTAATTTTTAAAAAAGCAAAAACTACCCATTAAAGATGCTCAATTTGTCGATGAAGAACCAAGGATGCAAACCGGACGACGAATTGGACTGGGAGAATAATAATAATGGATAAACTATGTAAATAAATGCTTGCACCACTTTGTGAACACACTTTATACACCACAGTTCATTTGTACAAGATTAATACAGCGCCTTGAGCAATGGGGGAAAATTACGAAAGTGAAAAAACAACCTGCGGGGGGCAAGGCTAAAGGGACGGGGGAAATACCAGCAAATGGTTGAGGCCATATGCAGGGCGAGATGCAAAAGAATCTGGGCGACTAGGTCAAATGACACACGCATATATCGCCTATATACAAAATTGGGAGGGAATAACGCAAAAAATGAATCGTTAATTCTCAGGTAGGCAAGTCGTTGACGAACAGTTGCACAGTGACCGACGTACCGCATTTTTTAATGGAAAATGAAGGCACGCAGACCCCTGTCAAGAAATAGGACCCTAGAAAAAGGAGCTACTTTAGAAATGCCTAGATAATATGCCGTTTCCTTGAGATGTTTAGTGTAAAGAGTAAGGGGGAAATCACAAAAAGATCTAGGCTTTGAAAGAAATGGGTGGTCGGGAATCATCCTCGTCGTCCGTGTCATCGTCATCTTCAGGGCGTTGCTGCTCGTCAGCATGATAGAACAGGGGTCCAGACTGCTCGATGTCAGGCTAAAACCATGAATTGAACTGAAGAGAGTGCCAAACCTCATCGGTCTCCTTCTCGACTTCATCTTCGTGCTCGACAAGCTGACCCAGCACGCCAAACGGAACTGAAAAACAATAATAATGAAAGTTTTAGGAAAATTACCATTGTGTTGAGCAGGGTGTGGGCTGGGTGCGCTGCTAGTTGATGGCTTCGCACCGGATCGCATCATTGAGCGGCCCAAAACGCTTTGTCCTAAACCGATGCTTCGTAAACAATTGTGGAAAAATCACTTACCGCCCAATCGTTCACCTGTCGAATCGGTGAACTCGCTCATCTGCGGCACGCCAAAAACACTTTGGTTGTTGCCGGCAGTCGTGAACGAATTGTAATTATTCCTGCAATCAGTGATTATTATTTACGTCTTTTCATTGAGTGATTTAAGTCGATGATAAACATTAACTGAGCGTCAGACTTACGGGCGATGCATGCTCCTGCGAATGCTGTCAGAGTGAAGCTCACGAATAAAGAGGGCTTGCACCCGCATATCAGCAGATGAACTTTCCATCTCGATTCCTGAAAATAATTCGCGTAAAAATGAGTTTTGCCGCATGGATTACTTGCCCCTACGATTTTGTTGTGACTTACCACTCTGGCGCAGACTGTTGCTGAGACTACTAGCCATTGGATTGCTACGGGAGACGCTGCTGAACATGCAGTGGCTGTTTTCCAGTGGGCCGTCAATCCGGTGGATACCTAGACGAATAAAGCTACACCGCAGAATAGCTTGATTTTACCTTCTCCAATAATTGCACCCTGTGACAGTGCGGGTTGCGGAAGAGGCGCCAGTAAAGATTGCACCGATTCGAGCAGTAAATTCCGACCAGGAGCCGCAGTCCTAAGCGCCGTGGCTTCTTGATCCAACTAAACGCAGTGTATTCCATTACAGGCTCGACCTCACCTTATTCCTGAACCTCCCAAGGAATTTGGCTGTATCTTTAGGTGGTGACCATTCTGGGTTGGTATTTGCAAAGTGAAGAACAGACAGCTCGGTTTTGCCGTGCAGCGCGGGAACTACCTCGGGTTGACCTGAATATTATGGATGAGGTGCAAGGTCTAATGTCTCACCGTTATCCTCTTCACCATCTAGCTGATTCCAGAGAGGATCACCGTGTCGACCCGTGTCCATCAAGGCAAACGAGCAGACATTGCCGAGACCTTCGACGCTTGCCGAATTTTCAATCAGGAAGCGCACGAGTGCTTGACACTTTGGACGAATGCTGCAAAGAATTTAAATTATTATATAGTTGATAATTATGACTGAAAGAAAATATTGTACGAAAAATGCTTTCTGCAAAAAAATTGTTTTGATGATTCGAAATTTGGTCTACACATCAACAAACGTCCCCTCGCGTTTCATCGCTCGAAAGGTCAACAACTCACTGGAATAGGAGGATGTATGGGGTGAGCAACGGGCTCGAAAGTTCTTCCAGCAGGTAGTAGATCTTCAGTTGGAAGAGGTGTTCGAAGGAACCGCGAACCTGATGAAATAGAATTCAGTTAAATCTCAACTGAACTACCTGATCTGTATGTGCCTGCCCCTTCCAGTCAGAAGGCACGTAATGCAATTCCGACGCGGCATGGCTTAGGAGCGCCTGGAAAGTAATTTATATCATAGGAAACCCAGACTTTAAAGAGTTCCACTGCATTTCAAAAAATTTATGACATACCTCCGGTTGCCAAACGAGATTTTCATCAGATATCAGGCTCCTGCAGATGACCATGATCACACCAGACACCGTCATCACAGTAATAACGTGTTCCACCTAAAGAAGCAAGTTGTGGGTGAACAACCGAGTTAGCAATATTTTTTCGTGAAGAATTGAGCAAAAGACCACGATCAACAAGGAAAGCACCTGAAGCACATCTTCATCCCAGGCTGAGAGGATGGCTAGTACAGCAAAGATTGCACCGGCGACGAAAGCAGTGTTTTTCGCAAAAATTTCTCCTAAAAAAACTCATTTTGAAAAGCGAAGCGAAACACACCTATGGGCGAATAGAATTGGTTAACGTAAGCATTTGCATATGCGTGCGATCGGTTCAACCGGGCTCGAAGCTCGTGCTCCAGTTCGTTGAAGTGTCGGAGGCGGTACCTAAACATGGAATTTATATGAACTAAGCATTGAAGACGCCACAGGTAAGATTGCCCATCGTAAATATTGCAGCAAAAAATGGAATGTTCTGTACCTTCCGAAATTTGAATATCGTCGTGTGCCGAGGGAGCCAGGCTCCCGTTTCACCATCTCGGCTAGCGTGAAAAATGAGTAAAGAAGCTGGTAGAGGAAGACGAGTGGGAAAAGCACCAGGTTGAAGATGCCGAGGTAGGTCACCTAAAGTAACCAATCAGGTAAATACGCCTAAATTCACGTACTGTCTTCTCCATCTCAGTCGTAAGGTATTCAAGGTTTTCCATATCACGATATTCTTCCTTCAAAACATAAGGGCCACGCCAAGGCGAGAAGTATCCCCAGAAGAGCAGCCATTCCAGATTCGCTAAATATATTTTTTTGTGCTAGAAGCTTTAACTTACATTTCAGTCCGTTCGGCAAATATGGGATCTCGTCGCAGAAAGGCATTTTTATTCTGGGCGGCAAATGCTCCTAAACACAGATGAGTTTTACGGGGGTCTATACCTGGTTTACAAGAGCCACGAAATAATTTTTGAAACGAAGAATGCGGTGGTACAAGTCAATTGGCGAAAGCGTTTCCAAGTTGATAATCAAGTGCAGACGGGGTTGTACCTAAATTAGAAAACCTTGAGCCTCCAGTTATTCTTCTACCTCACAAATCTTCTTTACAATCGTGTGCCAGGTTAGATTTGCCAATTGATGATCCTCGATGTTGAGAGCATGCGAGTAGAATTCCTACGAATACATCATTTCAGATTTAATTGCAATTCTTACCTGAATTTCCCTCAGCTGCAGGAGGTAGTAGCAGGATTTGATGACTCGAGACACCCAGAAGCTGATCGCCATCAGAATGGCGAGAATTATGAATGGATGTAAGCTAGCAGCGCAATTCTCAATGACGGCGTCCTGTAAAAATCAGGTATACACACATCAAAATAAAAAGATAAACCCTAAATCAAGAAACACACCCCAAAATGCCGCTTCGTTCCCGGTAAAAGAGTCTGGCCTGACGTTGTAGTATTTTTGTTACGGAACAACACATCGTAGTCGACACATTGCAGGAAGAAGGTGGAAAACGCCACTAAAACAAATTTTACAGTGATGTGTCCGGCACTCACCTATGAAGATGAATTGAATCAAGGAAAGCACGCATTTTGCCGCAATGCACATGTAGCCACCGCCTTGATGGTATTCATATACGCGATTGAAGAACTAAAATCTGGTTAGAATAGCTTATTACGCGTTTACCTGATCTAGATTCTCAATATGCTCCCATCGGTGCTCTTGGTTACTGCTGCTGCCCATCATCGGCGGCGTATTTGCGTGGCCTAAAATTCGAAATAAGAAAGGAAATTAAAACAACCATGATCCCGGGTCGCATTCCCCGAAGAGGCGACGTGATTCCGGGGAGGCCCCTGATAACCTCGCTCCAGATCTGTACTCATGCTTGGGTCAGTCCTAAACCGTGAAATTAGACTAGTATATAAAAACACACGATTGTCTTGTCTCAGCTTCTGGATCACCATATCGTAAACGGGACCGCTCATTGAGAAGAGACGTTGACGCTTCGTTCCGGATATCGCCATCCTCGTATTCGTCGTCAATCACCTGAACATTTAGATAATTAGCACAACAGCTCTTACTTGGTAATTGGCCCGCTTCTTTCTCCCAAACATAGGCAGCTGCGCGGTAACAACCTGAAAATTTATCCGTTAATAATTGCAATGCAACAAATCCGAAAAAGAAGTAGAGAAGGGATCACAGAAAATGAGGGTATTTATGCCTTCAAGCACATCGCGGTTCTGGCGAGAAATATTAGAAGCAAAGAGATGATAAGACACGTGAGTAAAAAGAACAGGTTACCCGGCAGAGACATATGCTATCACAATTCCATGATAAATAACGTAAAGCAGCATAGCGGAAGGGTTCAGGGGGAATTCACATCGCATCGAAGTGGAATCTATGAGATTGAGCTTGGCGTTCGACTTTATCTTCTTTCCGCTCTCTTATGTGAAGGAATATGGCGACGAGGAGCAACAATAGGCAGACAGATGCCAGGACAATCAGCGACTGGATTATCAACTGTGACGGGGTGACGAACAATCGATGAGCCCATGTTCCATCTGGCTCTTTCGGCGGGATGACGAATATCCGAGAATTCGGCACTAACTGTGTGAAGGTGCCAGATTGCCCGCGGCCAACTTGTCGTGGCGCGCCCACGACGATCTTGTCCACGAAATTCGGACTGCGCCCAAGTCCGAAAAGAGTATATGGCGATCCCAGCGAGCGATGAGTGGATGTTGATAGTTGGCACGAGACACCCTCCTTCTTCCCGTTCGTCCAGGAATCAGTCATTTCGAAGCGGACGCAAGCTCCCGGCCACGAAATACCGGAGCCGACTTCGTTACCCTTAGCGTCGGGTCGGCACGGCACAGGCCCACAGACGTTTGTATAAGTCTGTACCTTCAGGAACGTCGTGTCGCCCTTATCCTTGGACGGTATGAAGCTGAACTTCTTTTGATCTCCGAATTCGTATTCGACCAGAATGTCCAAATTTCCATCCTCCTTCAGGTCAAAGAATGAGCTGAGCAGCGACTTGCCTAAGCTCACTTCTTTCGGCAAAATGAAGGACGGCGCGTTCTTCTTCAACGAAAACTTGCGCGTCAGATTCAGGCCACAGTCCGCACATTCCTCGTTGTTCAAGATTTTTGGCATCGTCTCATTGCCCGTGGTGAAAGTGCCAACGAGGTCTGGAAATCCGTCCAGATCGAAATCGCCCACTCGGAATAGGACATACGACTCGGGCGAACGGATGATTTTGACGTCAAACAAGTCGATGCTCATCGATTCCCACGAAGACGTGCGGCAGTCGCTTGACGCCTCCGTGCAGAGAGCTTCAGAAAATAGAAGCGCTGTGACCTTATCGCAGCGTTCATCCTTGCAAACAGGGACGACAATTTCAATTCGGGAGTCTCCATCGAAATCGGCTATCAGGGGTGCACCGAAGTAGTTGTGATCGCTCGGTATGTCCGGGATAAACTTCGGGCTCAGAACCCATGCCGAATTTTCCTTTCCCGGAACTTTTGTCGCCCTTCGCCAAACCTCGAGGCCGAGACGCTCCTCAGCTTGGCGGACAGGGATGATAATTTCCGCCGACAGGTCCGAATCCAGATCGACGAACATCCAGGGGATTCCTTCTGCCTGGGTCTTCGGTTTCCAATCAATGAAATTATGGGTGCATGCTTTCGAACCGTCCTCGGTACAAGCAGTCGGGTTGGAGATCGGCCGTTCATAGCCTAACTGGCAATAAACGCTTTGCTTATCGTCGATCCCGATGATGTCGGCCAAACCATCGCCATTGAAATCGAAAAAGTTCGGTTCCTCCTGGAATTTGGTCGTCCCGAAGCTGCACAAATTGAGCTTTTCATATTTGTACCGGCGGCCAACTTCCCAATGAAGCAGATACAGCGCGACGATCTCATAGCCTGCTGCTGTCTTCCTCGACACAAGTAAGTCCAGGATGCTGTCGCCATCAAAGTCTCCGACAGTGCAGATCGGCTTGTTCGACATCCAATCGGCAGCGTTCCCCTCTAGCGTTATCACTTGCGAAGACTCGTTGGACAGCTGTCCATTTTGTTCTTGATTCAACCATATGAGCTCAGCGGAGGTTTCGTTCGCCACGAACGTCAGGATGTCAGTGTACCGGTCTCCATCGATATCGCCGAATGCGCATACATATCCGGAATAGGGGAGAATATTGATGTCGAACGGATTCTTCAGTTCAACGGCACGCGTCAGCAGCGGCAACAAAACGAGCGTCAGTAGTCGGTAGTTCATTCTCGCATCGCAAATTCAGACGAGACCTGTAAAAACTGGATTTGCGAGGGTAAAAACGGCAAATGAAGATAAATTGTGAAGAGTATAAGGCATATTTTGGATTTTTATGAGATAATGGAGCAGATGAGGGCTAAAACCGTTTATAATCAATTTTATAGCAAATAAATCGATATTAATGTTTTTAAACTGAATGAATCACGAGATCGTTGCGCTTGAACGGGGAAAATCAGCTGATATTTGTTGGAAAGGCAAGCGCGTGGGGAGGGTGTAGGGAGAAGCGCGGTGTAGTCGGTCAGTGGATGGGCGGTGCAATAGAGTGATGATGGGGTTAGAGGAGCTTCTGTTGGCTCTGAGCACTTGGACCAGCCGACCCGGGCTGAACCCTGAACGGCTGCTAGATTGACTCCAATATCTATAGAGCTTTTATTGATTTTCTTCGAACCCTGGGCATATTTAGGAGCCTCTAGCACTTTTTGGAGCCGCTATATCTTACTTTTGGGTTACTGTAGCCGCTTTTAAATTTGTAAATTCGTCATTTGCACGGCTCTATTGGCAATTTAGTACGGGGCGCACCTTTTGCCGCTGGGCTCGGCAGGACGGCGTGGCGCCTATGAAAAACCCAGCAAATCTGTGTTTTCTTATGATAGCTTTTTGTCTATGATTTCAAATCTTCCGGAAGCGTGATAACTTTGTAGAGAAAAATTTTCTCTATCGAACCTTGTGGGCCACGATGAGATTTCCCACCAAAATAAGGAGATTTTGAAGCCTAAAATATCCGAAATTTTCGACCAAGCGGTTTTGTGGCTAGATTTTTCAAAGTTGGAGGTTTTTTTTGCTCTTCTTAAACTTTGATAATTATTTTTCTGTTTAGCGCTCGTTGTTTAGGGCCTCGGATTTCGGGTGGATGTATAAGCTGGGCCGTCGAACACGGCATTTTGTTCAATTGGGTGCCATCGTTAGGCACGAGCCATCCATCCCTACCCCAAACACTACTCCATCATCCCAATCGGACCCGAATTCGCCCAGCTACGAAATGTGAGTACTGAAATAGGTCACAGGTTTCAAGCATTTTGAAATGGAAGTGGATTCCTCAGCATAAAAAAAGCGTCATTTTCAGTAAAATACGACGCCCGAAATTCACGAAGCAGAAAAATAGTACCTGTTCCACATGTTCGGTATGTTTATTGCAATTTGGAAAAAAGTGTAGCTCGGGAAATCTGATAAATCCCGTGGTTTTAGACAACGAGTAGTAGCGGGCCAGGAACGCCGAGATCGGATATCGTCGAGCAACAACTCGTCGACCTCAACCAATGTAATTCTAAAAATACCTATATGTGATAATGTTGCCTTTTTCCAGCTTGGAAACGTTTTAACGAGACACCGAATGGCCAACCGGATACATCCATTATCGTGTACAGGTAAGTGTGGCAAAATAAAGGAAAATCTAGTCATTTTCCGTATTTATTACCACTATTTACTAGCTAATAAATAAACATCAACGCTAGGGAAGTGCTAATTCTATCGATAAAACTTTCAGGTCACAAGGCTCAAAAGCCGAACCGGAATTTCGTCCCTTCGACCTCGACACTTACTACATGGAGCTCATCCTGAAGGAGGTCGAGATCGACCCCAAGCTCATCGGATTTTAAAATCCCCATCTAGGCATACTAGGGACTAGGAACTAGGTATTAGAATAGTGCTGATAGCTCACGTTTTGTTACTAAAAGAGAACATAGGCAAGTTAGGCCAACTCTTATTATGGTTGTTGTACCTTTAAATTGTTTAGAATACTTTTTTTTTGTTTGTTTGCAGTAGCTGTTCAAAATCTCATACCGTACGTGTATTTTATTGAAACTGTAGCGGTTAGTTGTTATTCCATTAGGTGCAAACCCCGGGTGCGTAGTTTTCCATTGCTCACCCAAATGTCCCTTATTTATTCGTATACTCTGCCTCCAGCTTCGTTAATTCCTTTTCAAGGTTCCGCATTTTTTCCATATTGATCCGGCTCAGCTGTTCGCTGCATTGCATCAGGGTATTTTGGAGGGTATCCCGTTCGGATTCAAGCTAAATTTCGGTTAATACGGGGTGTTCCAAAAAAGGCGCATCCGGCATTTGGCCGGCTTTCATCCGGATGTGTCTCTTTTTTCGGTCACCCTGTACATAGATTTTACCACGAGCTTCAACAAGAAATTGTCTACCTTGATAAACTCGTCCCACATGACCCGATTTATCTCTTTTTGCAGTTGTATTTCATTCAGCATCATATCTGTCCGTTCGTTTGCTATCTTAATAAAGACTATATATCTACATAGTGACAGTTACACTACCGAATATCGTTCTTTTTCCACCAAGAGATGTTGGATCTCATTGCGTAGATTTACAACGAGACGTTCTAGATGCTCCTGAACGCGGCGGCGGTTTTCCTATATGGGTATTACAAAAGGGGAAAGTTGTTGTTATTGTGGAATGGCCTTGATTGGGTGGGATAGATTGGGAAAACAGGTGGGGAGTGTTTGTGAGTGTTTGCCGCTGGTTGAGATAGGAAATGAAAAGGGGGTCTTTTGGGTGGAATTAGCACCTGGATAAATTCATTACGGTAAGTAAGCGAGGAACCGGGATGTTTTTGGGTACTAGTTTGTTAGCGAGGGGGTTTGATTTTTAGCAGCGGGAAACTAATTTTTTTTGGCTCCACCTACCTCTTGGTGATAAATAGTGTATTTTTATAATATTTTTCGTAGTTTTTGATCGCGAGAAGTTGCAAAAAATAACTTAAACATTTTTGAAAATTCGAAAATTTGTCCTTTTTCCTTCGTTTTCATACATGTTTGCACAAATTTTTTTGAACAGGATTACTGGGAAAAATCACCCAACCCCCCCCGTTAAAAGTCCAATACCTGGTTTTCTAGTATGATCTCTGGTTTAGCCTTTTTCTAAACCGCTTTCATGATGCAATTGCTCTTCGGCAGCTGAGCTTGACGAAAAAAGCCTCGCCATGTGAGTTCGACTGCGAGCCAGCGAACCTCCAGAGAACGATCAACACCCGAGCCGACAGTTGGCTATGCGAAGGGTCAGGAGACAAAATAGAAAAAGGAGGAGAGTGGGGGGCTATCAGCGGTCCACAGACACTCGACAAAGCCTCGCTCACAGTCTGGAGGCCAGTGGAAACTAAACACGGGGGAACGGATGGAAAAGCATTATAAGTGTTTAAAGGGGGTAGTGAAGCGGAAGGATTTGTGTCTATGTCGCACTAATAAAGGTTTCAAACAAAATGTCCATACCATTCCATAGCTCAGCTGTGATAACTGTAATTGTTGCCGCTGATTTCGAGAATTCAGCTCAGCCATGGCTACCTCCAAGGAAAAGCATTAACAGATCGAAGCATATGTTCCCACTTCTTTGTTGGTGTCCTGTTGTTGAAAATTCTGAATTGCTTCCCGGATTTGATGTTCCCTCCAGGACAGCTCTTCTTCCATAGTAAACTCCGGAATATCTGCTTGGGTATGGCCTTGCAGCGCCTGGAAAACCTCGGAAATAATAGAAAAAACGCCTACATGTCCAAATTGCTTCCCACCAGATCCTGGACGCCGCCGTTCTTTTTGGTTTTCTAAAACTGTAAGTAAGTGGACGCTTTAAAAACCAGCATTCCAACGAGTTAGGGCGCCTTCAAATTGCTTCGATTCACTGGCAAGCTGGTGGATCTTCTGACGATAGGCCTTACAGGGCGTTTTTTTTTTGAGAATCTGAGCGCCAACCTGTGCGTTATTCTGGGGTAGCTGCTCAGTGTATTTATTGTTTGCGTAAAAGGATTGACGGTTTAGGTACTGTTCAGCAAGTGAGAGGCATAATCTGAAGATTGCTTGCTTTTTAGGGCCCCCAAAAAAACTTGAACCCACTTATCCAATAATTCGTGCTCGTCAAACATTTAGGGTGAAGTGGACAGCGTCTGGGGGGGTTCATACTATTACAGCTAGGCCGGAAATTGAAGCTGCGCATTGTTGCCATGGGCACAGGGAGGGGCTGATTGGGACAGGCGGCCATGTTGCTCTGACAATAGCTTGACTTGTAAAGGGGAAATGTGTTTCATGTGTAAAAGGTTCACGGAAACGTCGAAAATATCCATTTCACGACCAACATGTGTCAGTAGGTTCGTAGGCCGCGACAACCGGAACGCTTAGTCCAAAACAACAACCCTCGAAAAAATTCCACTCCCAATTTTGAATACTCCAGCCATTTCGGCGCTACACCAACGTCTAAACAAATAAACAACGCTTATCGTGAAGTCGTGAAGCCCAAAACAAGCGGGCCCGATAACGGAAATTCAGTGTGCGAAGCGCGGTCGAAAACCTCAATTTGCATTCCATACACTGTTTCCGAGATGAAGGTATGTTTTTGTTTGGATCGTGATAGACTACGATGATTTTAGTGGCTTCTATTATGCGCTCTAAGTTACGGAGTGGTGGCGATGCGCGACCAGTCTATCGCCGTCAAGGGGACCCTGAAATGCGGCGACAAGCCGGCGAGTAATGTTCGTATCAAGTTATGGGAGGAGGACACCGGACCCGATCCGGATGATCTTCTTGACTCCGGCTATACAGCTCCCGATGGTTCGTTCAGGTGAGACGTCTGAATATTAGTTACGAGCGTGAGACCGGTAAAATTTGGATATTCTAAAATAATTCATTAAAAATCATGCATCTAATTACAGACTGGCCGGCGGAACAGCTGAATTAACCCCAATTGACCCGATTTTTAAAGTCTACCACGATTGTGACGATGGTATTAAGGTAGTTGAATCCAGGGGTGTGGAAAAAACGACGCCTTTCAGCCCGGTCATCGCAAGGTGAAGTTCTTGCTCCCGAAATCGTACATCACGTCTGGGAAGGTCCCGAAGAAGGAGTTTGATATTGGAGTCTTGAATCTGGAAACTGTTTTCCCCAAGGAGGAAAGAGAGCTGATCATCTCCAGACGCCGGCGAGAGCACGAGGGTGAGCACCGTAGCAATATGAGACCCAAGAATTTCAGAACCGAGAAATCGTCGCCAATTGAAGACTACGGAGGATGAACCCGTCGTACCCGAGCATAAGCAGAAAATTTCCGATCCGGATGTCATTTTGCTTGCCAAGTCACAGGATGTCTAGTTTTTATTGGGTCGCTATATTATAATTCTCATAAATATCTGAATAAATCTAGCTATCTGTACAGGCAACGTGGAAAAGAAATACATGTGGTTGAACCACAAGCTAAACCGGGCAATAAGGCACTTTGTGAGGTGACCAGAATCAGAGTTGAGGGGTGGGTGTACAAAAAAAATGCCAAAAAGATCACGTAAAAAAGCAAGAGAAAGAAATCATTTAGGGGAATTCTTTCTCATATACCGAGCAATGCCGAGGCGAGTGATGGCCAGACTGCCCGCCGATCCGACGAGCGCACCAACCATTCCATAGATTAGTGTACTGCTGTCCGGAAACATGGTGCTGCCCATCACTTCGAGCAGTTTAGTTCCTAAATTAATGAAAAACTCTTAAAAGTAATAAAATAATTTACCGGCAAAACTTCCGGTAGACGAAGCGACAATGTGAGCAACGGCTTCGACTTTGTACATAACGGTGCCGCTCTTCCGATCAAACTAAAAATCCAAAATACTGAAGTGAAGCCTGGTGCGCACCTTGTGCCCTCGACGCAGGCTGAGCCACGAGAATATGATCGCAGCTGGGACGGAGAATTGTTCTGCTGCCATCACGACGCCAGAGAGCTTATCGGCTGACTAAAAATAAAATTTAGGATCTTTATGAAAACTCACATCCATCAGGAAATGCTCTGCTGCACTGGACGCTTCATTCGAGTTGATTTTTGGCGCTGCTCTCCAACCAGCTGCCAGATAATAACCGCAGACACCCTAAGTTTGTGCATAGAGATTCTAATCACACTGGACATACCCTGAAAGTGTTACCCGAGCTCAACAACGCATCGGTGATCCATCGACTGAAAGCGCGCTTCCTTTCTGCGGGATTCATTCCGGCCGGCAGCGAGGCAGCCACGAACGGGTATAGGAAGCCGAAGACGCGACGCCGCTCCTAAAAAAATAGTTTAGAAAAGATATGTCTGTCAACCTGTTGTTTTTCAAGTTCCAATTCGTCGGCAGGGGCGGTAGTTCTCTTGACAAGACCCTAAAAGGACAAATAGCATATTAGAGCACAGAAACTACCCTCCATACAAGAATTTGAGTCCGTATACATACCGTAATCGTGTTCTTCATTGTGGCCAAAATACCCGGAAGCGCTGGCTGAACAACCTCATCCTTCTTGGGCACGATCTCCATCGGCATTGGCGCCACTTTTTTTGGCAACTCTTCTTGTTTAGAAACGACTATTGGAGCGGGAAGTTTTGCTGGAGAAGCGGAGGCTGTCGGTGTCAATGCGCCCTCCTCTTTGGTAGACCCGGTCTTTGGTACCCAGCTACTGGCCGAGCTAAGAACGTCTTTCGTAAATTGGGCCGTCTGGAAAAAAAAGAATATTATAAAATACGAACCACAATTCTCACCATGCTCGCTAGGCTTGTCGAAGCCTCGCCAACTTTCTTTAGTGATTTTGAAGCTTCGTCACTCATGTAATCTGCGGCCTTTTTAGATTTTGCCATGGTCTAAAAGGAGGATGAGAGTGAAACGTGGAGGTGATATACCTGCTCAGCCAAACTTGTCGTTGTTTCTCGAAGCTTATCAAGAGACTTGGTTGTTTCATCGACGACATAGTTCCCGGTTTCCTTCGTTTTCTCAACAGCCTAAGCGAGACATAATGATCGAATCCGATTAGCTCACGGTATTTGCAAGGTCAGACGCTGCATCGCTAATTTCTTTCAAAGACTTGGCCGATTCCTTTGAGACGAAATCTGCGGCTTCTTTGGACTTATCTATTGCCTAAAAGCAATGTAGTAAAGCTAGGACAATCATACCTGAGTCGCGATTTCCGTCGTAGTTTCCCGAAGTTTGTCCAACGACTTGGTCGTTTCTTCCGCGCAGTAATTCGCTGCTTCTTTTGTCTTTTCGCTTACCTAAAAAAGGTTATTTTTCAAGGCTAAATCTCAATAAACGTACGGTATTGACAATATCGGAAGTAGCTTCACCCATCTGCTTCAACGACTTTGAAGTTTCTTCCGAAATATATTCAGCGGCATCCTTCGTTTTCTCAATTGCCTGGATTTAGATAAACGTGGAACAAAAAGCAAAACCTGGGTGGCGATTGTAGTCGTAGATGTGTGGAGTTTTTCGATAGATTTGACGCTTTGCTCTGCGACATAACCGCTTACTTCCTTTGTTTTCTCCCATGTCTAAACAGATTTTATGTATCCGGCGTACTATGGCAAACCGTTTCCGTAATGCTTGTTAGGCCGTCTTGAACAGAAGTCAAGGAAGATTTTGCTTGTTCGGCATAGTAGCTCACAGAATTGGCAGCGTCATCATACAACTTAAAAGAAAAACCAATTGTATCGCAAAAATGATTAATACCTTTGAAAAAACCGAGCCTTCCTCCGGAGCACTTTTCTTGGCGACATCGGAGGCCTGCAAGCTCCTAAGTACTCTTACACGGATAATAAATGAATACCTTGCTATCAACGTCCTTCAACTGGTCTTTCACAGTCTTGCTACGGTTTTTCAGGTCCTCAGAGAAAGGCCGTCTCACTATTAGCTGAAAACAAAAAGAGTTCAGCTCGAAACAGTGCTTACCTGACGCGACAATTGAAATCGGGCAGTGCATATTCTGATTAAAAGGAACGCGCGCATCTCTACGGCATATCCTTTATCGTTTTAAAGTCGATTATTATTTACTTGAATGAAGAAAGTAAAATGTTGACGAAATGGGGGTTGTTTTCGGGCGTAATCAGTCCCTTTTACCCGGCGTAACGGACGGAGTGTCCAGCGTATCTCTTCGGAAAGTTGGCAGCAGCGAGTTTTTCGCCATTTTCGGTGTAGTAAAAACAAAATAAATAAATCTTTATCGAGACAGATAACAAACTTTCGCGCGGGATAACAGATTACGGCGGTTTTCCGGATATTGGAGCCGGTTGATTGCTAGAAAAATGAGTTCTGCTGCGGTATTTTAGTGTGCTCGTTCCAAGAAGAAGTTCCAAGAAGGGCTCGTAAACACCTATTTTGTGCAGATTTTTTCGCTAATACAACCTATTTCGATATTTCAGAGTCTGCAAAACGACATAATAAGAAAGTTATGAAGCTCTAACGGGCGAACAACGGCCAAACTAACAAATTTTTTTGCATTTTTCATAATTTAGAGCTTCGAACCTTTTCATTATGGTCGTTTGGCAGATTCTGAAAACCAGGTTTTTAACAGCAAAACAATTCTGCACACGATAGACTTGGTCGCATTTCAAAACACACTAAAAACGCCTCCTTGTTAGCTGGTTTTTCTATGGATTGTTGAGTATTTAGTCGCTCCATGGGAGAATCGTTGAAGGTTTTTTAGAAGGTGCGGTCTGTAATAATTACATTTGATAGGTGTTATCTATGTAAATTAGGTCTCAAAAGGCCACAATAACGAATCGCGTCACCACAGCAAACACTCCACGGCGATTTGGCATGGTTTGATGCGGGGGTGCGAGGGGGGATGGGCTAATAATCGACGGGGGGGGGCAATGCGTTCAGATCTTTTCTCTTCACAATCTGATCACACCAAACACACAAAAATGCGCGGTTGACGGGTGGCGTCGAAGCGCGAAGACCGGGGCAATTAGAGGTCCCGCAACAAGGGGTGGGGGTGGACAGAGTGGACAAGTCCATTCCAATCCTCGCACCATTTCCCACCATTCCCCCGTACCCTTGTCTCGATCGGGCGGTGTGTTCGCGCTCTTCATCTACCGTATACGGTCAGCGGTACCTAATGGATGCAGGCTGGAGCGAGATGTCGAAAGGTGGGTTTTTTTGCAGGTATAAGACTGTTAGCGGGGGGACCAACTTTTGTGATTCCGTCTATACCTACCCGATTTTCGAAGTACCGCCTTTCGAAGTATGATTTTTGAAGGTAACCAAAGCCCCCTACTAGCTTGCAAGCCGCGTTTTGTGATCATAGTCCGGGGTTACAAATGACAGACAGGCTGGTCCAGGGAGGAGGGCTAGCAGCGGCTGGCGGGTTGATGTGCGGGGTTAAGGTTAGGGGGAGGGCCAAAGCGGATGTTCTTGGATGGGCCCGTGTTTTGAGTGATGCGGCTGTCATTTGGGGCATCTCTCCACTCGTTCACCCCGATCCTCGCTGACCTCACTTATCGGGTCGTCTTTTCGGGTTGGCCTAACCATTGTTCGTTTGAAAGGCTTAGGTTTAGGCTTAGGCTTAGGCTTATGTTTGGCTTAGGCTTAGGTTTAGATAGGCTTCGGCTTTCTTAGGTTTAGGCTTAGCTTTGCGTAGGCTAGACTTAGGCTTAGGCCTAAGCTTAGCTTTGTTCAGGCTTAGGCTTAGTCTTAAAGTACGTAGAACCCTCAACGCCCCATTTTTTTCGTACTGGCATGGGTAGTGCGGGGTCCGCCGACGACAGCGTATCCGTTTTCCGACACCACCACTCTGCCGCAAACACCTGACTCCAGCATCTTTTGGATACACCGACTCACCGTCGCCATAATTTTCCACGGAGCTGCCCGGATCGTTTTCACGGGGTGGCCCGGACTGGCCATCCCAAGCGGATGACCAGTGTTTTGAAGGAGGCTAGCGTAATTTTTTGAAAGTGATAATCTAGATACCTAGATTTCATTTGGTACTGGGCTGTTAGCGGGGGGAAACTAATTTTTATCAATAATCCTGTACGATCCTATAGAAAAATTTAAACGATTTTTATAGCATGTTACACAGTTTTTAGATATAAAAAGCTATGGAAAAGCATGCAACTTTTGAAAAACTGTTAGCTTTTTGGGCAAAAATATATGAAAATTACGAAAAGAGTTAAAATTTTCGCATTTTCAAAAGATATTAAATATTTTTCGTAACTTTTGGGAATCCAAAACTATGAAAAACATTATAAAAATACGCTATTTATAACTAACAGGTGGGTATAGACAAAAAAAACAAAAATCAATTGCCCCTGTCAAAAATCCTCCGCCCCCCCGCTAACAGTCCAGTACCAAACAGTTCCGAATTCCGAGAAATCTAGGCCTATTTGTCATTTTCCGTTTTTGCCAAAATTACAGTGATCCCGTCAATACACTCTCCCCATTTTGCACCCTATTCAAATCGTTCACATGCACAAACCGCTGTCTTCCCGGTTTTTTTTTGTACACGTCGCCCGAGAAACCACTCGAGGGCCTGGTTCAGGGGAGAAGGGGGCGGCCCTGAATTCCGGATTGACTGTATGGCTTTTATGAGAGTCTTCCAGCAACTCCCTTCATATTTCTATCGGCTGCCTTGGGATTGTTGGATTCGGGGAGTTCAATCCATTGAGTTTTGTCATTTTTTTGGGGCTCGAAATGGGGGGCCCTATCCATTGCGAAGCTCTCAAAGGGTCAGAAGGAGGGGATCTCGAATCGGTTTGAGGGCCGAACGGATGGGCGGGAAAAGGAAAGGCGGGGAGTGGTGCAGAGGGGAAGGGCCTTTGTCTTCCGCTTTCCGGGTGCCGCTTTTGTATTTTGAATTGTTTTTGTATATAACTCTTTTTGTAATTTTGTATATCCGATGATATGCATTTTAGTCATGTATTTCTACTATAAGCGCTCTTTGTTTTCTACTATACCGTCCCCCTTGTTAAAATCGGTACTGGACTGTTAGCGGGGGGCCATTAACCGTTGTTTCACCGCCTATACCGACCCATCAATTTTTATATTATAGTGTATTTTTTTAATTGCGATAGTTTTTGACTGCTAGATGCTTACAAAAAATATTTCAAACAATTTTTAAAATTCGAAACTTTCGACCGTTTTTCATTATTTTTCATGCATTTTTGTAAAAAATCTTCAAAATTTTTACCGGTTTGAAAGGTTTATCTAAAAACTGTGTAAAATGTTATAAAAATGAGTTGGATTTTGTTACAGGATCGTACAGAATTAATGCCAAAAATTAGTTTCCCCTGCTACCCCCTCCCCCCCGCTAATAGTCCAGTACCCTAAATAAGCTGTTAATAGAAGTAACACTAAACCTGGCTGGTATCTTTAGAAGTTTTATGCAGTTTAAAGCGATAAAAACGGACAATAGCGACAACTTTTGCGTAGAATTTTCTGTATTTCTGTGACTTCTAGTTCTTTTTTGCATCTCTTAATCCCCTGGCAGATCTCGGGATTTCCCGCACCGCATTGTTGTGAACAAGCTGTCGATTGTCAGCCGAAAATACCATTTTGGGGCTGGTGGGCGAGTGTGGGACGGCTCCCAGCCGATGGCTTTTGGCGGCATCCCTCCTTCAATAGGCTGAATGGCCCGGGGGGGACCGGGGGGATTTCGTCTCACTTTCCGCTTCCTGCCGAAACCCACCTGACCGCTTCGTCCGCGCTGCGCCAAACTTTTTCTGGCTGCCAGGAGAGTTTGGATTGGTCTGTATTTGCCCGAAATTTCCTATTTCTTCGGCTCGAAATTTTTTGCTTTTTGTACCTGATTTTTATCTTTTTTTTGGCCTTACTACCGATAGAGGTTTGAGGGCATAAATTTATTTTGAGCTTGAGCTGAGGAGCTTGAGAATCCGAGCTTGTAAGCTTGAGAGCTTGAGAGCTTGAGCTTGGAGCTTGAGATTGCCAGCTTAAGCTTCAGAGCTTGAGCTTGACGGCTGGAGCTTGAGAGCTTGAGCTTTAGAGCTTGAGCTTGAGAGCTTGAGCTTGAGAGCTTGAGCTTGAGAGCTTGAGCTTCAGGGCTTGAACTAAGCCCGAGCCTAAGTCTAAGCTTAAGCCTAATCCTAAGCCGGAGCTAAGCTAATCTAAGCGTAAGCCTGTGCCTAGCCTAATTCTAAGCTTAAGTCAAAACCTGTAGCTGATGAAATTTCCTCTAAGCTACCTGTTTTTCGCGTCTTTTTGTCCTCCTTAACGTAATTACACGTAGACCCATTCGTTCCGCATTCCCCCCTTTAGTGTTCCTTGTTTTCCCCTACACCCCAAGGGTCACTCCCTCCCTTTTCAAAACGATCCGTCAACTCGACACTATCAGGTGTTCGGTGGTGACCAAAAATTCTTCCCCACGGCGGCTCGGCTCGTTTTCGCCGGCTTTTCCCCCTCTTGCTCTGGGTCTTATTGGGTGGTAGTGTACAGACATTCTAGAGGCTTTTTAAGAGTCTCTCCCCCCCTTTGACCACCGATCATCCGGCCACTTGATGGGCCCCTGAGCCCACTCGTCTTTTCCGCAAAAATCGAGTCCTACCCGGGCCGGTGGGCCTCTCTATCAAAACCGCTCTGCAATCGGATCATGTGTGGGGCGGGGCAGGTGGTTTCGATGTTGTTTTGTCGTTATTTATCTTCATTAAAGGTAACAAAACCGCTTCGCGGTTTTTTCGGTATATGGACCCGATCTTGACAAGCTGTCTGGTACACTGGGCTGCTAGCAGGAGGACCTTTCCTCTAAACCTTTTTTCCTTTTATACGTTCCAGTTAATAATAAATAGTGTATTTTTATACTGTTTTTGGGAGTTTTTAATTGCTAAAATTTTGCAAAAATATTTTAATTTTTCAAACCTCGAAATTTATTAAACTTAATTGATTTTAATTTTTTTTCTATATTTCTTTGACCCTAAAATTTATTTTTCATTTTTGCTATTAAATTTGTATACTGGAATAGTGAAAGGGATGGCTGTCAGTGACAGTTCCTGGGGCGC